GAGGAGGAGCTGCACTCGGCCGAGCTCTGATGAAGGAGAGACTCCAAGCGAGCAGGGGAAACAAGAGGGGCGACTCATGGGTAAGACATGAGCGCAGTTAGCAGCATATACTGGTGGAAATAGATGTAAGGCAGTTTGCCATGGCTTAAAGAAAAAGTATACGACAGTAAATTAGTGAGATTAACTGGGGTTGGACAGTATGTAAGCTGTGTCAGGTTTGGAATTAAAGTTTTGTCCCACATTTCCAGCTACACACCAGTGAACTGAATGATGGCTACGACTGGGGTCGTTTGAACCTGCAGTCAGTGACAGAGCAGAGCTCTATGGATGACTTCCTCGCCACAGCTGAACTGGCAGGAACAGAGTTTGTTGCAGGTATAACACGACTCAGTTCACACACACAGTTCCTGTCAGAGAACTGTATGTCTGACTCTTACTTATGCCTTCAGTGCAACGAATAACATTCTATTGAGAAACAAGAATTTGCTGCAAACAAGATGGAAAAAGATAAGCTTCTCTCTTTTAATTTCTCTGTTTCTGCTTTCTCAGAAAAACTCAACATTAAGTTTGTTCCAGCTGAGGCCAGAGCAGGCCTGCTGACAGCTGAGGAGAAAAGCAGGTTAAAGATTCTGCATGAAGAAAACAAACATTTCCTCAGGATTCCTCGGCGGTAAGCTGAACATACCTGGTCCAATCTGAATATTTGACCACATTTTGCTTTCAACAGTGTTTTGCTCTGTGTGTCTCCAGCCCTCACTGGGATGAAAGCACCACCCCAGATTTACTCCAGCAGGCAGAGAAAGACAGCTTCTTGCAGTGGAGACGAGAACTTGCTCAGTATGCAGTAATTTGTCTCTAAGGGAATTGTCTTGACACTAAACTCTTTCAGTAAAGCAATATGTTAAACAACTGAAAATTACAGAACTCAAAGGTTTTGTTATGCTTATGTCAGACTTCCCTGGTTGTAATCTAACCCTGTGATATTTTCCAAAGACTGGAGGAAGAACAGAAGTTAATTCTTACCCCGTTTGAGAGGAACCTTGAATTCTGGCGACAGCTGTGGAGAGTCATTGAGAGAAGGTAAAATTAAGTTCATATGTGTTCAACAAGTAGCATTTGGTCCCTGGGTGAAATTAATCCTATGTGAATTGGGCTTATGCTGATCTAACCCAGTTCACTGCAGCTATAGCTGTATGTTGTCCTGCAGGAAGGGAAATTTCTGATCCAGGATTGGCCCCTGTTGAAGTCGAAGTTTCATTCAACTTCCCATTACACTGTTCTGCTTAACTGTTGCTGCTGGACAAAACAGCTTCACAGACATGTAGAGAATGGTGTCTTCTGGGTAGAGTGCATAGGAAGCTTTGTGCTTCACAGTGTTTTGCATGTAACCAAAATAGCAAACTTTGGTCTTATCTGACCTTCTGACACATGTTGGCCCTGTTGGATTCACTGGATTCTAGATAGAGATATCATATGTACACCAGACCTTTTAGATTTTTATGTAATGTCACAGTTTCTTTTTAACTTTTCAATCAAGCAGTAATTTGTGGCAATCTGTTCGCACTAAAATCCCCCAAAAATACATTATAGTTTGTGGTTGTAGCTGATTCATATTAAGAGGTATGGATACTTTTAAAAGCATTTTTGCCCTTTATGAAGTTGCGTTCATGGTTATGTTTTTCTTCAGTGACATCGTCGTTCAGATTGTTGATGCCAGGAATCCTCTGCTGTTCAGATGTCCTGACCTGGTGAGGCCCCACTTAATCCCAAGAGATTCAGTTAGAAAGGAAATTAAAACAACAAAAAAATAATAATAATTTGTTGAGTGTAAAAATTGCGTGTAAGATCAACTCTGACATCAATATTAGATATGATGTTTGGGATTAAATACTCATCTTCTTCCCCAACAGGAAGTATATGTGAAAGAAGTGTCACAAAATAAGGTGAACATGCTTCTGGTGAACAAGGCAGACCTTTTAACCCGGGAGCAGAGGAAAGTCTGGGCCAAGTATTTTGAGAAGGAAGGTGTTAGGGCTGTTTTTTGGTCTGCTCTGGCTGAGAGTAACAGGCTGGATGCAGAAGAAAAGGTGAAGAACAATAATTGAATACATTTAGTATGTTGAAACACAAATATATCAGATAAACTGGTGGATTCATATTCCTGCTTCCTGTAAACGCTGCAGCCTTGTGTGTCTTTCTCTCAGGGAATGGAAGTTGATGATCCAGAAAGTGTAGAAAGTGACCCAGAAGCAGATGGATCGTCACACAGTTTGGACTTATGCAAAAGAGCGTCGAAGGAAGAGGAAAAAGCGCTGGAAGGAGACACTAGTGGTGTTGAAGAAGAGCAGCAAGACAATGTAAACGTCGATGAAGAGGACTGGCAGACCTGCTCGGAGGAGGAGGAAGAGGACGAAGCTGAAGGAGAGAATGCCAGTTTTTCGGGTGAATCCTTCCATAACTCCAGCCGACTGCTGCACAAAGATGAGCTGTTAGGGATGTTTAAAGCGTCACATAATGGACCCAGGTGTAAAGAAGATCAACTGACTATAGGACTGGTTAGTGAAACGCTGAATTTCTATCTAGACATATTCTTCATTTTATCTCATTAAGGAACTCTGCAGCTTATACTATAACGAGTTTTTGAAATAGATTAATATTTTTGATTCAACAGGTCGGGTATCCTAATGTGGGAAAGAGCTCCACCATCAACACTATTTTACGAAACAAGAAGGTGTCTGTTTCAGCAACACCAGGACACACTAAGCACTTTCAGGTATAAATCCAATCATGGCATTACATTTAGTTCATGTGCTGTAAAGAGCTTAAAGTGGGTCTACTTGTACCTCTCAGACTCTGTATGTGGAGCCAGGTCTGTGTCTCTGTGACTGTCCCGGTCTGGTGATGCCCTCGTTTGTTTCTACCAAAGCGGAGATGATCTGCTCTGGTATTTTACCCATCGACCAGATGAGGGATCATGTACCTGCAGCCTCCCTCATATCCTTTCCAGAACGTTATAGAAAATGTTCTAGCATTGCCATATGTGTCTTTAGTCCTTAATGGATTTGTCACATATGTCAGACAATCCCTCGACATGTCTTAGAAGGAACGTACGGCATCAACATCATCAGACCGCGGGAAGATGAAGACCCTGACAGGCCCCCCACTTCAGAGGAGCTGCTATCGGCGTATGGATGTGAGACCACAACACATTCTTTCTGTTCTTTTCCCTGTTCTGACCTTTTTTAAAGGAATTTTACAAAGTTGTATCTTTCTCGGCGCTACAGATATGAGAGGTTTTATGACGTCGCATGGCCAGCCAGATCAGCCCAGATCAGCTCGGTACATCCTCAAGGATTATGTCAATGTAAGTTTTACTAACTGGTGGATTTTAGGGACTTTTATTAAAAGCAGTAAAAGTAAACGAATACATTCACACATTTACCCGTGCAAGTTGCAATATTGAGAAGTTTTTCTGCTACTTGTGAAATTAAAGAAATGTGGTTTAATTTTCTAAACTTGTCAATGTAAGTTACTAAAACTTACATTGACATTGTGAAAGAGTTTAGGCAGCAATTCTCTGTGTAAAAGTATTTTCTTAACTTTTAGACTCTAAAGTTGATCAAACCTCCCCTTACTGACTTTGTTTACTCCTCAGGGTAAGCTCCTGTTCTGCCATCCTCCGCCGCACATTAATCCTGAAGACTTTCAGTCTCAACACAGCAAATTCCAGAAGAGGGAGTTGGACAGCTTGGACGTCTCTGCCGTAACAAACAGACCACAGAAAATCAAAAGGATTGAAAATGTTGTTGACAAAAACTTCTTCCATCAGGTAAAATGAGTGTAACAACTATTTGTACTCTTCATTGGTTCTCTGAAAAACAACATGAGATAAAGCTCTTTGCTTTTGGTGAACTTTTCCTTTTAGGATAATGTCCGAGCACTCACCAAAGGAGTTAAGTCCATCATGGGCTACAAACCAGGCAGCGGACCAGTCGGCCCAGGGAGCTCAGAGTCGGAGGGAACGGAGGGCAAGCCCTGGAAAAAACATGGAAACAGAAACAAGAAGGAGAAACTGCGACGGGTCACAAAGCATCTGGATGGTTGATGATGATTGTCTAAACTCTTTTAAACCCACATGATTTCAGATTGAATGAAATGTCTTGAAGAGCAGCTCGTATGTCATCCTAAAGGACAGACAGACAGACAGACAGACAGATAGATGGATGCATCTGTTGCTGTGGAGAGGGTTTTGATCTAAGCAGTTAAGTGCTCTGAACTGAAGATTGTAAAAGCTGAATTTACAATCTGAATAATGATGACTAAAGGAGCTGAAGCACCAATTATTCAGAAAAAAATGATTTGCGAACCATATACGTCTTTGTGAACCAGTTGAATTGCTCTGGATAGGAGCCGTTTTTACTTAGAGTGGTAGTTATTATTCCCAGATTGAACCCCACAAATTGGTATTCAATAACTTAACGTTTTTCTATGAAGAGAAGCTCTCATTAAAATATTGTGAAAAGATGTTTGTCCTTTCTGAAAGACTTAAATCTAAACGTTGATTTGAAATAAATAAGTTGCATCAACCTTGGCCAGAACTCTTCATTTGATTTCTTTCTTCTTATTTTAATGTATATTGCTTGTTGAATTAGAAAGCTAGACACATTTGGAAGACTTTAATTAAGCTGGGTATGTGAAATAACATACAACTGTGTTTGTAAAACAAACTTAATTTACAACTTTCTTTGCAAAACCAAGCAGCAATGTGTCCAAAATGCTGATAAAGTGCAATATCATTTGCATACGTCAATATAAGTCGGGATAAATTCATCTACCGTCAATTGCTTTATGGTAATTGGCTGAAAACCTGAACGTGCAGCTGCGTCCCAGGTGACCAAGCCCCTCCTCAGACTAGTGCTGGTCCTTCCTGTTCGCTGTGTGGAGCGTCTCAATTGCGTGGATTAGTTAGTTCGTGGAATGAGCAGAAGTTTGCCGGTAAAATGGACGGAGGTATCTCGACCGCTGAGGATGAGCTCAGAGGAAGCTCTGATCATTTCCTCACCAGCCTCGGTGCCTTCTGGCTTCACTCGGTCGCCAGCTGCGGGTCCCCAGACGCGGCCCATCTGTGCGTCCCCGCTGGTCTCACGTTGCTTTCTGCTGTCCTGTTGATGCTTTCCTCCCTCTTGTAAGTACAGCGAGATCCCTGCCTGTCCCATCCGGAGATTTAAAGAAGCAGAAATGGCAATAAAAATGTTACTGTTTCAGGATCGTGTGTCGGAAGTTTAAATCAAGAGGAGAATATTCAAAAGAAACCATGATAGTTTTCTACAGTTTTCTGGGGAACCTGTGCAGCAGTGTGGGAGCAGTTCTGGCCAGGCAGTTTCACCTGCAGGTAACATAGTTTTATTTAAAAATGTATTTTAAAATCTATAATTTTAAAATATATTTGATGTAAATTATATCTGTCTGTAGATTTCTATGGCTGCTTTTGCTGCTTTAATGGATGGTGTGCACTGTATCTTGTGTTGCCTTCCGGTGTTCCTGTGTTGGAACTCCAAAGCTCGTAAGTTAAAACAAAGCTCCATCTTTTCCAAACAATATGACCTGCTCACAGTATGCAAAAAAAAAAAAAAAAAAAAAGATAAAGAAAAGTGCAGCATAGTGGCTCAGATGTGTAAAATGTTCGCCTCCCGCAGGTCAAACCATGTAGGCAAACCTAAAAGGGAACTTATCAGTTCACCTCCTGATAAACGCACAAATGAATAAATGGAGAATTTGTTTCCAGTTTCTCTTTACTGAAAGAACAATTGTCTTGTGTTCTTCTGCAGAGCGGAGGCTGAGGGTGGTGAAGAGGCGCAGGAGGCAGCATTTTCTGGCTGTGGGTGTGTTGATGGTGGTTGCAGGAGGGTTCCTGAAGTCCAGAGTTGATGAACCTATAACAATTAGGTCCATCAGCGGAAGGAAGCTGCTGCACAGCTCAGTTCAAATCTCCAGCTGGAGCCTGATGATGGTGAGGTTGGTGTACAGGTTGAATACAAAAGCATGACTAATTCTACGTAATTTCATTTGTTGAACATGTTGGAAAACCACTCATTGTTTTTCTTCTATTATGGGCTTTTATTTATGTTGGTCTGCTCCATAAAATTCTAACTAAACACATAAAAGTTTGTGGTTGAGAAATGTCAATGAAAAACTCCAGTAACAAACTGACAGATTGGAGAGAAGTGTAATCCTTTCTTTATTTTTTCCAAGAAAACTTCTTAGGGAAACACAGTCTTGGTGCACAAATGGTGTTTTTATTGAATTATGTTTGGTAAAGCAATGGGGGAACAAATTATGTATTTATTTTTTGCAAGTCAAAATCTAAATTAATAAATTCAAAACACTGTTTTATCCTTGGAGTTGAGGAGCCTTTTACGTGAAGCTCAAATGCTCATAATTCTTTTCATAATTCCAAAGGACAGCAAAGAAATCCTCGGTTACATCCTGGGCCTGTTGGCCTCTGTCATTGCCTGGACCTCCAGGTTCCCTGCACTCTGCAGAGCAGTAAGAGACAGCATCAGAACGTCACAGAACCATCGTCCTAAAGCTCAGCTGCTTTTATAAACTGTTTTTGTTTCTGTCAGAGGAGAGGACAGAACCTGACCCAGACGTTTATTGTCTCTGGATTGTTGTGCTCTGTATCTGGTGCCCTCTACACTGCAGCCATCCTCTTACATGACGTCCGGTTCGGATTTCTTATCAGAGTTATGCCTTGGCTGCTGTCATCGAGTGGCTGTGTCATCCTGGACCTGCTTGTATCCTTTTGCGCAAGCACCTAGATTCAGTTTGTAATTTGTAATTCTGTAATTTTCCATTTACAGAAATTACAATTATAATTGCTCCTTGTGTTAGAATTTGCATGTTTGTTTTAAATGTTGACTTTTAACTCAGATATGACAGATTTCAGTGATCCACTGGTGCAAGATAGGAACTACGCAGAAGACAATGAAACTATCATCAGATATGGAGGGCCTTTTAGGCATGAACACTGAACATACTGCTGTCATGAAGGAGCAGAAAAAGCAGCAAAAACCTCAATCAGCACAAACAAAAGTAAGTTAATTATTTTACATTAATTAGTCTTTTTTCTTGCTGTCAGAGTTTCTAATTGATTTTGGTGTAAAGGTTATTTACGTGAGAATAAATGAACCTCATGATGAATGCAGTCTTAAAGAGTTACCATATTTAACTGAAAAATATACATATTTTGTCTAAAAAGTAGGTTTACTTTTAACGATTTAGATCTTTGTAATGACTCATGAGATTAAGGACTAAACTGTCATCTTCAGTATTTTGTTGTCACTCATTTACTAATTTCTTGACCAACATGGCAGTGCTTTTTCTTTCAGATGTTTTGTTGTTAGAATAATGAATGTTTTGTCATGTGTCACTAATTAGTTTTTTTTTTTTACACATTTTGTGTTAAATATTAAAGTTTTCAGGCTTTTCCTCAAAGACAAAGAATGTACAGAAGATGATTGAGATGGGCCAATATATGGACGTCAGTGGTCAACAGACATCGAAAGTATGTAAATAATGTATTGATCAAAACCACAGCAACACAGATTTAGTTAATCTGATTTAGTGTTGATTTAGCTTAAAAACTAAATCAACACTCCTTCTTTACTGCGGGATTTTTATTTTATTTTCTCAGCTACTGTCCCTTAAAGAAGTGGCACTGTCTAAAGATGGATTAGACGTCGGATCTCCTCACAGGATGGTGCGAGTTGTGACATTTGATGGTCTTTGTTCCTCTGAAACATCCTGTAGCTCTTCATCAGACAGCACTGATCTGGAGGTGGGTGGAAATTTGGATCAAAGATAACTTGCCTGAACTAACCAATCAAACCAGCCAATTATGACATGGTTCAGGTCAGATATTTTCCTCTTATTTGCTCTCATTGTGCATTGTTGATTCAGTAACGTGCCCTGCCAAAATTAAACAGGCACCTTTAACTTTTCCATATTTCATGTTGCAACCACAAACTGTATTTTGTCTGAGTTTCCCCCAAATTCCATGAATGATCCTGTATTGAACTTCAGCAATCTCACCCACAAAAGTTTGACTGAACCCACAGCATAATGCTTTCACCACCATGTGTCCGCCATTCGGTAGTGTGTGTCGGGTGATATTTCGTTTTATTTCCAAACATAATATAATCTTTTGCATGAAATGTAGACCAAAAGCTTCAATTTTGGTCTCATCTGGCCAGAGCATCTTCTTCCAGGTGTTCCCCGCTAGCCTTGTAGCAAACAGGACTTCTACTGCAATGACTTTCTTCTTGACACTATTCCTCGACTATCTTTCAATTTTATGGAAAAATATAAATATAGCTTTTGAAAGCTGTGGACCTCTTTTCTGTCTGCTTCACAGTTTAACACTATCTTAAGTTTGTCTGTCACATTAAATAAAAAAATAAAAAAAAACATTGAACTTTTCTTTTATGTGGTAAATGTGAAATGTTTAAGGGACATAAATATCTGCAAGTCAGCATCTAAAAAAATAAAACAACCATTAACACATTTGGCAATATAATGCACTTTTTACAATTTGCCAGTAGGTGGCGACAGCTTGTGGATATTGTAAACGTCTGCTGAATTTGGATGAAAGTAATAGTTGTCAGAGTGCTCATGATCCTTTGTCACCTCATTGAAACTTTAGTATTGACTCAGTTCTGAGTAAAACTGTACAGTGAGTAATAGTTCAAACTTTAATTTTATTTATTTTTTGACTAATGACTCATGTTACCGTCAGTGCTGCTAGATTTCTTCTGCGTCATCTTTACAGTATTTTTGGTCACTTATTTTATGAGAAAGAGATTAGTTTAAGGATTTCATGAGACTATGAGATGGTGTGTATCAGTCATGCTTTGTTTCTTTGACATGTGACTTTAGGGGAAGTAAGTCAGATGGTGATTAAAGTTTCTTGTAAGCAGACATTGGTCAGCATGTTTAAACATGGAACTCCATGGATGTGGTGAAAAGAGCAGTGCAGGGTTTGGATTTTAACTGTGCTCTGCAGAGTACCATAATGCCAAAGGGTCAACTATTGGCAACATGGAAGAAACCAGAATTGTGTCAGATAGCTGACTTTTATAGAATTTACCATGTCTCTCTTTAAATTGCATAGAGTCTGCAAAGGAAGTGAAATTTAAAGTTGTTCATATCAGCTAGATCCCCACAAACAGTGACTCCTTTTTTTTTTTTTTGTTCTGCTGCAGGAATATGTAGGAGGCAGTTTATTCGGAAACAAAGGCAAACTGGGCAAGCACAAACAATTGAGGGTTGATGCTTTTTTCCAAACAGGAAAAACCCAAATAACTTGAATGTTTTTGACTTATGTCTTACTTTCAGAAATGGAGGGAGACTTAACAGTGTCCATTATATATTTTTAAGTGGCCTTAATGCATTTCTATATGCACATAGATTATTTTTCCAATGAAGAATACTAGTGGCTACTGCTGTAGAATCCAAGTAAATATACTTGTTTTTAAGACAAGACACGTAGAAGAGAATACACAATTGCGTCTTGAAAAGAATCTTGACTGATCAGTGCTTAAAATATGTGTGTGTGGGTGTGTGTATTTATATATAATCTCTTAGCTTTCTGAATTAAAAGTACTGGAAGTGCAGTCAGAGAGTACGGCCCTGTTCTTTAAAACTTCCAGCTCCTGTTTAAACTTAACAGAGGCGGTTTACTTGGTGACATAATGTAGAAGAGGTTTCCATTCAGTTTGACTTAGTGTCTAATGTTTAATCCTCATGCAAATAAAGTAGAGAGGGAGCTTGTTTAATTTCAATACAATGCTTTAACATTAAGACCTATTCAAAAAAGAAAAGTGGCGACAACATTTTTTATCGCTTTATAAACTGGTCTTTCGCTGCTGCCAGCAGCTCGGTATTTCTATTGTCTTGAATGTTTCGTACACATTTCTGCTGAGTGCTGCGTCTTGGCGGGAGTGAGGCTGGGGGCTTCAATGATGGGTGGAATTGTTTGAGATCTACCATGTGGTCCAATTGTTCTGCTGTAATGAATCTTTGATTAAAGACCACCACTGGGCTGGGTCTGTCTGCTTAGGAAGTGGTGCAGAATGGTTGGCTTGTCTATAGGGGGCCAGTTCTACCCCCTGCTATTTTGGGAGATGTTTATGGTCTCTTGTCTGATGCCTACTGGCTGGGAATTTAGCGGTGGGAACAATACTTGACCTCTCATGTTGTAGGTGTTCACCTGATACTTTTTTTTTTATGAAATATGATAAAGACCCTATTTAAAGCTTGACAGAAGCAGTTGAGGTTTCATCTCATTTTCAGAGATTAACTGAAATATATTTAACCTGGAATTATGTGACCACTTTTACACAATGAGATTACATGTTATTTCCCAAATCTTCAAACATAAAAGGAGCAGGATATTGTAAAAATAGTCGTCCAACAAGCGTTCTCATTAAACCATCGAGCCTAGTTGGATACAAGTCTTTAACTGCTTCTTTTTTGTGGAAAGCAAAGACAGACCTGATATTTTTTAGAGTTTAGAAAACAACCAAGCCATGTTAGATATCAGGCAGCTGGTTAATCCTAAATGAAAGTTTATGAAGAAATTTCTGATAGCGTGTTGGACAAAAAACATCTCCCTTTGGGTAAATGTAAAGTGCTTTCTCAAGACCTTTGTAACCTTATTTCTGCAAAACATACTGACAGCAGTAGCTACAGATGTACTTCTGTATTCTAATGTTTTAGTGAGCTCGCTAAGAGCCATCGAGCAGCTTTGTTCCAGTCTTACCTCAGCGATTGTAAAGCATTGGATTCCAAGAGTAATGAGTCATGCCTTATTCTTTGGCAACCAAATGAATAAGTCTGGCTGTTGACTGTACTCAGGAGACCATCACTTGTTGGACCGTATTGTGTTGAGTGCAAATTTAGGTGAATAGGGGATTATGGTGGTCTGTTTTGCAGAAGGTTGACTCAGCCTGAGTTCAGGTGAAAAAAATGTTTAATGCTTCTACATCCTAAAACATTTTTCATCCTCCCAGCTTTGTGGGAAAAGTTTTGGCTTGGTTGATTCAATTCTAGAATGACTGCATGCCTGTGCACAAAGCAATGTCTGCTTTGACTTCAATGAGCAATTTTTCCCTGACCCAAACCTCATAAACTTCTTTAGGGTGAATTGGAGCAGAGACTGCATTCTAAGCCTCCTCGTTGCATGGCGGTACCTGACCTCATATGTGCAAATCTGAAAATAAGGGTTAAAAATTGTCATAAACACATTCCTAAACCTTTTAGAAAACCTATTCAGAAAAAGGTTGACCCTATTCATATTAAACTCTGTTTGAAAAATGGAATGTTCCTTAATTTTATATTCCTATGAAAGCAAACCAGTGAATACTTTTGGCAATGTAGGGTGATGACTTTATTGTTTATTTTCCTTAATATACATAATACTTTTATTGTCTCTTAGAAATAACCATTATGACCAACAACATGGATATGTGATGTCTTTTTGAGAATTATATTTTTTTAAATGTATTTATTTCTGATATGGCTAACGAAAACATCTACTAAAATACTAAAAAAAATTCAGGCTATGGTTTTTATAAGGTTATAATTCATTTTCAAAAAGGGAAATATTGGAATAAAAATGGATATCTTAAAAGCTCTGCATGTAGACACAACTCAGGGTTGCCTATTTGGGTTGAGTCATATTATTCCTGAATGAAATTCAAACATATTACTCTGAAAATAGGTAGATATTAGACTGGAAAAAGCAGTAAAAAATGCACAGACTTTCAGTGAGCTTGAATAAGTATTTCACAAGACCAGTATAAAAGATTACAAGAATGCCTGAAAGTCTGAAAAAAGCCCTGACAAAGGGAAACGACATGGTTCAAAATTATTCTGTTACTTATTATGCATAAGAAGATATTCTACACTCTGTAATGGCGTGTCACGATTGCCAAAAGGTTCAACCAAAGAACTGCAGTTACTTATTACGCTGCATTTTAACTTGGAGGAACATTACATAATGCAATCCTTCTCCTGTAATTCTTTGTTTTCCAGTGGGACTTTGAAGCTGCAATTGCACAGTGGAGTAAACCAGCAGCAGAACCACAGGAGGGGGACAAGTTCCCGCTCCAAGACTGGCCAACAAACCCCAAACCCTTCAGTGTCTGCATTTGCTCGATGGCTGGACTCCCACAGAAGAGTCAGTGTTCTGCAAATAAGAGCAGCTCTGCAGTGAGCTGAACTTCAGTGCAAGCACATCTGACATTACTGTTTTAGAATTATTAAAAACAAAAGCAACCGTTGACAGTTCTATGATTCGGTACAAATTGGAAAGCAACTTCACATGACCTGTTCTGACATGTGACACAAATAAGTTCTATCACTTCATAAACCTTACTGTGTTTGTTCTTGAGCCCATTCACAAACACGCAGGTTCATTTTAATACATGAAAATATTCTGGAAAGGAGAACTTCAGCATTTTGATTGAAGTATCAAAATTAGAAGTGTTACAAATGGAGGGATGTATTTCAACGTTCTATTTCCCTTATTTTTAATTGTGGTTTAGCGACACATTTGTCGTGGTAAATACAGTCACCCTTGAGCTCCTGAGAACTTTAATCTTCTTTGAAAGATTACAGAGAACACCGCCCCAATAAACAATATACCCCCCCACCACCACCACCACAGTGTAAGGTTATTGGGTCACATCCTGTATTTTGCTACACATCCAGGTTATCAGGGCTGGGCTGGAGAAAAGAGCAGATAAGGACAAGACTGGAAGGCCAGAGCTTGTTCGTCCTCTCCATTATTCATCAGCCCTTTCTGTCTGTCTGCTGGCACAGGGGCTTTCTAAAAGAGGAGAGAACAACATACTTTGTCATTTATAACTGAGGGGACTTTATTAAGAGCTGATAACTACACAATACAGAGAACAGAGAAAAGGTCGAAACCACACAGATCCCCTCCCTGTTGCATTTCCGACAGCAACTTATCTGTATTAGACGTAACAGTAATTCCTGATATCAGCAGTAGATACTATTGTAACCTAAAACCTCGTTCTTCTCAGAAACATGACCCAGAAGGTGAACTGGGTGAAAAATCCATATTGAGGATTCTTGGATGTCCATAAATAATTGAAACACTGCTTTAAGAGGTACTTAAGATTTTAATAGTTTTTTTTTCTGGATGATTCTAACTAGATCAAAACATAGATTGGACCTCAAAGGAGTAAGATCCCACATCAAAATCAGCAGACTTTGCTCACTCCCCGTGCCTCATCTCAGAGACGGGGCTAAAGCAAACCAAAAAAAGGTGGAATTCTGTTTGGGAAAAAATGGAGAAGGATCTGGATTAACACATTCAAAAGAGCAGTGGGGAGCAGGCCTCTCTGTTTTTCTTGGCCTGTGCGTCACTGTTCATCTGACTGAGGAGGACGTGGAAGATGCAGAGGTCTTTTGAGCCTGCCGGACATTTTGTTCACCTTGCATGTTGGCTGGGAGAGGAGGAGGGTGTTGGGAAGATGTTCATAATTTGCACCACTCCTGCAAAAAAAAATCCACCCGGAGCAAATCAGAAACAAAGCACTCATGAATCAATACTTAGCTGTTGTTGAATAACTCAGAATACAGAGTTATATAATGGTGAGTTGCTTTCAGACTTTGGTCAAAAACGCTGTAGATGAAAATGTGATGCAAAGTTAAATAGTGACTCTGGAAGATTTTAATTTAAAATGTCTCTGGCCTTGATCTCTCATGTAAGAATTTGTACTATATGGTCAGCAATACCAAAAAACATGTACCAGTAAAAATCTGAAAAAGTGGGTGCATTTGTATTTAGCTCCCTTTAGTCTCATGTGTGTTGAAAGAATTCAGTGCATTCAATCAACTTCAGAAATCATCTTCTAATTAAAGAATGCCCACTTGTGTGTATTTTAGTCTGAAAAGTCATGTGAAAGGCTTAGAGGTTTGTCAGAAAATGATGGACATTTTCTGACAAAGCTAGTAAACTTAGCCCAAGGGTAGTACTAGAAAAAACCCAAATACACGCCACACTTTTCAGATCTTTATTTGTAAAACGTTTGAAAACCACAAATCGTTCATACACTTTGCAGTTCTTCATTGATTTGAGCTGATCTACACATAAAACGAGAAGCGTTACAAAAATAAAAAGACGACAATCTGAATTTTATTGCTATTTCTTGCGCATACTTGCATTAGATTCGCAAATAACGCTTCGTTAGTTTATTTCAACAGCTGTTGAAATGTCACGCCTAATTTCCGACGGTCCTTTTTATCCAGTATTGTAACGCATGTCACAGTGAGTGAATGATTCCCCCCTTTTTTTGACTGCACTAATATTTACTTTCGGCCGCTGATTGCGTGGTTACGCGTGATGTCAGGATATGTCACTTCCTGCAGACACGCAGCCAGTTCAGTCCAGTTCGCCGCTGCTGTAGTAAAGAGCTTGGGTCTGTGTGAGAGCTGTCAACACACGGCGCGGCTATCTTCCTCCACTCCGGCTGGCTCTCTGCTGCTGCTGTGGAAACACTCTTCTATTCAACTCGGACCGCGTCACGTTTCAGCAACGGTTTCCTCCAGATAACAGAGACTCTCCTCTCACTATGACACGAAGGTGATCTTCAGAGTTTCCAGGTGGTTCTGGGTGAGTGTGTTCTGAAATGTGTTCGCGGGTTTCCTTCTGCATTACCACCATGTGTTATTTTCTCCCGAGCGCAGCTAAGGCTAAAGCGGTAATGTTAGCTCAGCGATGAGTGTTCAGGTGTCCGTCTCACCCCCTTGGTTTGGCCGATGAACGGCATGTGTTGTTGAAACGGCGTCTCGTTTATGAGAGAATGAGACTGAGAAGTGGGAGAAGCATGGAAGACACATGGACCAAGTAGAGGGCTAACATCTTAGCTCGGCTAGCATTAGCCAGCTAGCACGGTGTCTTCCAGACCAGCGAGTCTCAAAGTTGGTCTCAGGATCACAATGTTGGCCATAAAACGCCAAGTTGGGCTCTTGAAATCTCCACAAATTTAATTTGACTGATGAAACGCTAACGTGCGAGTTTATTTTTTTGTTCTAAATGTAATGAGGTATTTTAGTAAACAACTTAAAAGAAGTTTAAAGCTTCTGAATGTTAATAATAACATGTAAATTGGTTAAAAGGAAGACAATTACAGCCACTTTGAAACTCGGGATTTTCTTCTTCTTTTTAAAATTGTTCTACAAATTTGTGACACAAAGTAAGATATTAGGCTAGTTTACTGCCGCTTTTCTTCTAGAGATAAATACACAGCAGCTTTTAAGAGTTTTAAATATTAAAACGCTTTTTGAAGGATGCAGGATATCAGTGAGTGGGATCAATATGAATCAGTTCAATTTTAATACTTGGAAAGGAAAAATATAACAGCAGTAATAGGTGGCTTTTGACATGGACACCAGCTTGTTCTTGTGTCAGAAATATACTTGCTGACACATTTAATTTATTTATTTTTTGCTGAGTTTGATTTTGACCACATTAAAAAAGCGATTGCTAGGTTGTTTTAAAAAGTTATTCTCTTGTCAACCCTCTATCAGCAGTAAGGCTTTTTTTCTTCATTTTTAATTTTTTTTTCATTGAAGAAATATGGAGTTCAAAAATAATTAATCCTGTGATTAAAATGTGGATGGCAGCTTTAATTGAATATTTGTTGTAAGATATTGAAGCGTTGTAGAGCTTAAGGTCCTTTATATTTTTAGATTTGTTAGAAATATTAGCAAACATTTTTTTAAAAATTGTTGAAAGAAAATGGCTTTTAAATGACATCGGAATCATGTATGAATGTTGCATTTTAAAGTCAGATTTTTGGATTCCTCAATGATGTTTTTTATATTAAAACATAAAACATATTGTATATTGAGTTTTTATTTTCAGTTAAAACCAGAGGTACAGTTATCGCATAATGCTTAAGTGGTGAAGATAAATGTTAATCTGTGAATTTTTTTTTTTTTTTAACAGTTTATGTTAAAAAACCAAATCTCACATAGGAATCCCTCTGAAAGGCACAAAATGAAGATGTCAGTTTTCCTTGGAGCTACAAAGCATGTGTGATTAGAAGATCCTGCTCCACAGGAATTTAAGATAAAATGTTTTTGAATGGAGAAAAAAAATCTAGCTGACATCAGCCTACCATAAGAGCTGCCAGGTTGTGAAATAACAAGTCCACCGATTGAAGCCAAGATAGCAGCAACTTATCATATTTGTTATTATGGCAGATTTAACTGGTGTCCATAAATGAACAAAACCAGTATTGCAGTTCAATTGGATCTCTGGCTTAACAGTACTGGTTTAGCTGAAGTTTCAGTCTTAGAGTCCTGAATCTCTACCGTTCTTACTTTCTGGGTCAGATGTTTAAAGGTTTTGGAACCACTGTTCAAATTCACATGCACCTTCCTGGTGTCATGCTACATATTTCTTAAAGAGATTAAATGGAGGCTATTTCTCTCTTCTTGGTTTCTTAAAACCAATTTGTTTCTTAAAACCATTCAGCACTTTGATTCAGATTTCACAGGTGTCATTCATCTGTTTGGATTTGTTATTGAACTGGTGATTGTTTCTAGGCTTGTAATTTCACAGTAGTTGTTCTGTTATAGAGGTCACCATTTGTTTCATCTTTCCATTGCTGTGACGCCGATTCCGCCTCTATATTTGCTCTTAATGTATCAACCAAATCTCCATCGAAGAAATATAATTATCTCACAAATCAGGCAGTTGAGCAAAAATGCTGAGCTGTAAACTCTGAAAAGAAGTAGATTAATTATCAGTTTTAAAGGCTCACCATACTTGACCTTCATCGATGACACCTTAAGTACAAAGAAACATCCAGAATAGTAGTTTAAACTATTAATATATTCAGGGTAGAAAAGGATTTTAAAAAATGCAATTAAACAATTAAGAAGAAGCACAGCATAGACATGTTGCTTCAGGCATATGTTTTCCTGATATGCCTGTTTCAAATAAATCAACAGAAAGGTGACAGTCCAAGTCATATTTGTACATTTGCCAACTTATGCTGCTGTGTTAGTTATTGGTTTGAGGCAGTTTATTTTCAAGTTCCTTGTTCATGTAACCATGTTATTATTTTGACATTTTAGATTTGGTTGAAGTCCACTTCGGCTGCTCGATTATGAAAAACATTGTGAACACCATTATTTTGGTTAGTAATCACAATTATTTGAGACGCTTAATAATTGGTGAAGTGATTATTGAAAATAAGAAACATCTAAACTTCTAATAAAAAGGACCAAGTTATTCTGACAGATTTGCTATTGTTTTTGTGCAGCTGATATATTCTGTACATTGACTGATCCTCACTCTGCTACAAATATCTTAAAGATTCTTGCAAACATTCCCTCTCACATTTCTTTCTGTTGCTTCTGTGGAGGTGCTATAACCTATTGACTCTTCTAGTCTGATAAAAGGCTGGTTTAATATTTATACGTAAATACTGAGAGTGTCACAATATATTGAATCCGAAATGGAAAACTGCACTTAATCCTGTTGCAACAAGGTGTTTTTTTTTCCTTTTATTTCTGTCATTTGTTGTCAAAATGTCTTCCAATTCCAGGGTTAAGAGATCTTTATAAAATGAAAGCTTATTGGTCTTTGAAAGGGAAATGTGGATCATTATGCCATTATCAATATATTACTTGAAAATGGTCTCAAAATGACAGTCCTCTATTGCCATAATAAAATATTAAGGGACAATTGTGAAAAGGATTCTTTCACTGACAGTTTATGGACCATCACAGTTACAAAGGACTGCTTGGATGTAATATCAAAAATATTACAAATGTATTGTTACATCAACATCACTGTAGAGATATGCATATTTCAGGGTACTGCCTGAATTGAAATAAGCATTAACTGATTGTTTGCTGCTGTGATGCACTCAGCCTCTATATTTGTAATATATGTTTTCTTTATTGCAGCATAAACAGATTTAGAAGATTAAGTGGTAGTAAGGTGATTTTAGTAATTAAAGTTATTTCAGTTCCAGAAATAGGTATGGGTCATAAACAGCTTGAAATTGATATAATAGTGTTTTTTTTCTCAGTAGCTGGAGTCTTATGTTTGCAATGAACCCATAACAGATTAGCATTTGCTTGTTTATCACAAATCAGTGTTATTGCAACATTTAACAACATTATTGCTTATTGCTTGTTTTCTAATATCCTGCAGCTCAACTGTAATACATTTGGCTACTTATTTGATTATTTGACATGTCACAAAAGGCAAGCAACACTGAAAAATAACTATACAATTTTAATTAACTGTTTATTGAAGACTGCTACAAACATGTTTATTTATATGCAAGTAAAATAAATAAAAAAAGGGGACAAGATTTTGTTTAAAAATTTGGATTTCCCTCATTTTTTCTTTGCTGTCTCTGATTACATAAATATAACTTATTTCTAGTTGTGCCTGCACAGCAGTAGGTAAGATGTCTCCCTAAGGATATTTAAACCTCTCATATTTCACATAGTTATCCTGTGGTCTTTCTGAGAACTTTCTGCTACAGTATAGTTTTTATTTGAAATAGAGACAGAGTCAGATTGAAAGGCTGAAATTGCCTTGTTTTATTGTTTTTTGCTTTTTTACACTTGATCTAGTTTCTTGTGAGAGCTGTCATTTTTTCACAAGAGGAATTTGGAAACAGTTTTCTCAGTTTTACAAATGTTGCATCAATATGCCTCTGGCCTTTTGGCCAACGCTTTAAGACTTTTCTCAGTTGAGCTCAAACACATCGGCCTGTGATGGAAGATCTGCCAGGTGGATTCTGAGTAGAGCTGAGAAATATCCTGACATGACAGAAGCCCTCTTGACAAGCCAGTGTTTTTTGATGTGGGAGCCCCAGAGCAGGGTGATAGAACAACACATCTTTCTGGAGCTGGTATCACAGTTTGCCTCCAAAGGATAACCCAGAGGGCCTCATCAGTGAAAGTGAAAACACAGTCAATAAAAACTCAAACAACTGCAAAAAGTAACGGCTCTGTATAAAGTAGAGATAATTCCAGGGTTGTAAAAGAGTTTTATGGCTTTGTGTAGCCTGACGTTTGGAAGTTGCAGACTTTTTACTCTGAAAGTTTGCTACCAGATTGAGATTCAAAGTTGATACCATTCTCACTTACCAATTGTTTTTATAAAGCTAATTTTTGCTTGTTGGTGGTAAATGTCCCTTTTGTATTTTTTTGGTATGTTGTACATCTTTTGGATCTGCTTCTTATTGGTTTCTCTACTAAAGGAGCGATGTTTATATCGCTGTAGGGATGGGCCAGCCACTGGTATCAAGTAATACAAAGCTATTTAAAAGTTGGTCTCCCTAAAAAGTACCAAAGAAATCCCTTATACTGCTCCATAGGGTTAAAAGGTAGTGCAGTGTTGCCCAACCCTGCATACTGCTTGTCAGCTGGCTGAAAGAAGACAAGTTTGACTGTATAAACTACATCAGCAACTGCAGCCTGTGGTTCCAGAGCTGCAAGCGGCTCTTTGGACCTTCCTTAATGGCTCTTCAGAACTTTGATTAATAAATGCTGCGACACATATGTTTAATAGTGTTTTTGAATATAAATGTGACAATAAATGCATGCTGTAGAAGGTTTTCTGGTTTTGTTTTCAATTAATACTTGAATTAATTTTCACAACATTATGGCACTAAAATTACTAGTAATATTTTTTAGATTTATGTTTCTTGTATTATCTTACTCAAGAGGAATAGCCTCCTCTTTGTCTGCACCCACCCATCAGTTGTAGAGGCAAAAGATGGGATAATAATCAGGTTCTTAGCAGTGAAGTTACAGCTTTGGTAGGATATGGTAAAAAAAATTTGTATAATTATTCAAACAAATTTGCCATCCTGCAAAACATCCCTAAACACACAAATCTATTTGCACCTCATAGCAGAAGAACAAGGCCAGATATCTGACAAACTTCATTTTCTGACCTTTCAGTCTCTTATTTATAATAATAATTATTTTTTTGGTTGTAGAATGCTAAAACCTCCAAACATTTTAGTAAACTTTGGTAATAGACTTGGCATCTCTCACTCAAGATTAGCTTTCATCAGGAAAACGCTTAAAAAAAATCTAAACATGTTAAATCTCTTGCACAGTGGGAAAAGCAGGTTTTTATAGATCATCCAGCACTTTCCCTGTTAATCCAAAAGCATGTGGTCAGACTTAAAGGTTTTGATCAATGGGATTAAAATTTTTTCCCAAGCCATTCCCTTCAGTTTTTTTCTCAAGGTGTCAAATTTTGAAGATGTTAACATTCTCCCTTTTTTCAACTATTGATACACTTTGAGATGCAAACCCTGAAAGCCATTACTTCAAATCCAGATTTTGGAATAAAAAATGTGTGCTGCTTCAGTAAGGGACATGTGTGTATTTTTTTTTTTCTAGATTGTTACTGCCTGAGCTTCAAAGTAGAGTCTATGATGTGTTTGGAAACGCAGGTTTTGTTGCATTTCATAAACAAATGCACTGTTTTTAGTATTAACTCTGAGATGTTATAATTTTTATTTTTTCTTTTGGTTATTTGTAGAAAAAAATACTATTGTTTCTATTTAAGCCGTCAGAGTTTCTCAGTTGCCAGTGGTGAAAAAGCAGATGATCAGAAATCTTTAAGGAAGTCCAGAGGCAACAGAGATGAAAATCAAAACCTCACTGGTTCATGGAGGTAAACAAAGCTTGGCTGTAATAGTCTATGAGCGGGACGGGAAGTGATAAAGAAAGCACATTGAGTGCAGAGTATGATGGCAACAAAACACTTTCCTCCAAATGCTTCCATGAATTATAGACCTCTGTCATTAGGTCACCACTCATTGTTTACTTTTTCCCTTTTTGTCTTTGAGTTAAAGAGGAAAGGAGAATATATCTGGTCTTATGAACATAATGCTGACAATATGGTGGTGGGCATTTGTTGATTTAAAGATCAGGGTGATTACATCACTGTCGTTGCTAATTAATTGTTTTTATTGATTTAATCTAATCTTATAAATGTTTAAAAAAACTACAAAATCAAAAAGTTCTGTATTCAACAAATGGCTTCACTGATTGCATTTAGTGGGTGTTTTTCCCTTTTCAGGAAAAGTGATAAGAATCTTGTTTGACAAATTATAAACAGCTGTCTATTTCTAAATTTCCATCTGGCCAGCATTGCTTATTAATACAGCAGCAGACTAATCAAACAAGAGACAACAATGTAGCCTAAGGCTGGCCTGCAGGACTCAATAAATAACCGAAAGGTCAGACTGACTCCTATAGACCTCAAACAGGCGCCTCCAGTTCCAGTAAAAGTCATGATTTTTTTCTGCTGGCCTGGGAGAACATAAAGCTTATTTAAGGATGACTTTCTTTGCAAGACAACACAATTGCAGTAATATGTCAGTGGCGACTGTAAGGCTTATTTGGACTAAATCACCTGACTGTTTCCTTTGTCACGTTATTATTGCCCCATGATTAAGGTCTTAGGGCAGCGTTCATCGTCTTGGCAACTACATTGCAGGTTATTTCATTTTACCATTTAAGGAAATACGACCTCTGTTTAATATTAAGTAAGGATTGGACGAAAACAAACAAAAGTTACCAAGTCTAAGTGTACGAGGATTTTAAAGAGGATTTTAGCGCACTTCACTCATCTTGTTTTGGGAAGGAAAAAACAAAAAACAGCAATGAAATTTTTTCCATATTTCTTTAATGTCATTGTAAAACCAGCGTTGTTATAGTTCTTGCTACTTTCACAACACGAGTTAATTTTTTTGCTAATTTCATGCATTCCAATGCAACGATTGGAATGCACTCTACTGCTTGTTCTTGGTGTATTTCCAAATTTCCAACAGGGAAGCCAAATTACCCCCTAGGAAGAAAATTAACCATTATAAGTAATGTTGCGTTTGTGTTATTGTTGTGTTTTAAATCACATCTTGTCACAATCAATCTGTTGTCCTGATTGGTGAGTGCTGGGTTCAGAGTGTGAAGCTAAACTTCTACCATAGTTTATTTAATACAACAGTATGTTGGGATTTATTCCACTGTGGAACAAAATAATCTGTGCAGTTTCATCAATGGAATTATTATAAATTATCAAGCACCAAATTAAAAATATTACTCATCATCCAGGTGTTCTTTGAACAAGTTTTCTATTGCTTTATGGCATGGGTTTTCTGTGACTGTTGCAGCATATAATGGTGCACAGCAACTTCTTCTCAACTTTTTGCTGCCAACTGATTGTGCCCCACTTTTCTTCCAGTTACAAGAAAGAAAATTAAAACACAAATACAGTCCTCTGAAAACTAGCTCTTATTAAAGCAACACTGTTTCAAACTACATTTGGCAATCTGCTAACCAGCTGTCTGCTAAGCAGATGACTACAGACAGATTGCCTGACAAATTATCTGCTTATGACAGCTGTTTGTTCTCCTAGTTATTTTATAAGAATTACCCAAGAAATAACATTGTGCACCATATGAAATCAAAATGTTTTTTTTAAGTTACTTATTTTTATTTTGCCACATGTTGCAATATTTATAAATGGTTGTCGCTTATTTATTTTTATATAAATGGAAATGTTATGTTATCCAATTTATTTGTTTTTGCATTAATCCCATTAGATTTTCATACACTAGAAATCCTGCAATAGGGCCTGGAATAAATGTGTTTTGCCTCTATTTTAAAAAGTGTGTGGATATGAAAATTTTTACTTTAGATCAGAGTCAGACTTGGTGTCGGTTCTGACATCTCGAATACAGTAAAGTTTGATAAACACTAACTTTTGATAGAGAGTTGTTCAAACTGTCACCCATTTTTGTTAATGTTTATAAATGTTCAATATATTTATAAAACATTAACAGAGAAAACCCAGGACATTCTCTGGGTTTTCAAAACCTGTTCATTTCAAGCAGTCAAAATAAAAATAAAGTTAATTGAACTTCAGTTGAATTTCGGATCGTACAAAACACTTGTTCAGATGTATTCATGACACTGTGGTATCTGTTTTGACATTGCCTTGTTAGTTGTGACTGCTCAATAAATCACTGTTTGGTCTGTTACTGTTTAAGGAAAATATCACGTCAAACTCAAGCTTATGGAAAACATAATTCTACTACTGAAATGTTTAGAAACCTTAATAAAATAATTTTATTCTCTTGTGTGGCTCCCCTCTCAGGGTTCCAGGTTGGTGTTGTGAGAGCGCAAGCTACCTGTGGGGAGGTGGACTGCCTGGGGCATTTTGTCCCTTGTTCTCAAGGTAGGAGCGAGTCTTAGACCGAGAATCGAGTTGGTCCAATAATCAAGCCAGTCATTTATCATTTTAACATCAGTAGGCTCTAATGGTTTGCTTTGTAAAACTAACTAGTTTATAAGTCTAGAATAACTGAACTGAAAAAAAAGTCCAATGTGGCCAAAACAGAATGTGTGTAGTATAAATACATCTTCTCTGTGGTGCTGACATCTAGGCTTTTTTCAGTTTATAGAAGCAAATTAGGAACTTGAGTGAAAAAAATATTGCAATACTGATAAAGCAAAGGGCTGCCCTGCACTCAGCTTAATCAGTATCAGTCATGGAAAAGAACATGCTGATCAATCTTTAACAAAAGCAAACAATCCAATGAGAAACTTTAACTTATTATGGAATAATTTGATTCTCTTGATTTTGTGATGTAAAAATGGAGCTCATGTATTGGCAAACGCCGTCCAATAGCATGTACTCAATCAATCAATGAAATTTATGTGTATAGCATATTTCAGCAGCAAGGTGGTTCAAGGTCCTTCTCATGATAAAAACTCAATAGTAGCTGAACTACTTCAGCTATCCTAAATGCACTTTTTTAGATTTCATATTTTAGACATTTATATTTTGGCAAATAATTTGTAGCTGCATTCTACAGTACAATCTGAATAGATGAGCAGTGATGAATTAACTGGGCATAAAATACATTACTCCCTAATATGTTACTTTGAACTTGTAAAGTAATTTTTGTGCACTGTGACTCTATTCAAAATTTGTCTTTGTTGGAATAAAACACAATTGTGTGAAATACCAAAGTGATTATGGATCTCAATGTGTCTGAAAAGGGCTTTAAGGGTTTTTTTACACTCTGCATTTCCCATATTTTTTACTGTTTGCTTTATTAGAGCAAATTAACAAATGTGACTAATTCTTACTAGTTTTATGCTATATCTATGTCTGTGCTCAGGGTTTCTAAGCACTGTTCCATTAATAATGTGAAGAAACCTGTGAACTTTAGCTTGAGCTGATATGTAACTTACTATTAATGAAGGTATTTTCAGGGACGGTGTGTCCCAGAAGTGAGCCATCAGGCACGCAGCTTCCATCCCTCTGTGATCCAAGCCGCCATAGTTTATAGACGGCTAGGATGGGATGATGCTAGGGAATCAAAACAGATGAGGTATTTACAGATTAATACTTTCTTTAATTACTACCTGTATCTGAGACTACAGTAACAGTAGTGAGATATATTTTTGTATTTTCTCTTTTTTATTTGTGCTTCCAACTCAAACTTTTAGTATTTTTTCCTGTCAACTTTGTCAAGTGTGAGGATTTGCTTCAGTTAGACTCCATTTAACAATCTGAATATTATATAGCATGTAAAGGGTGAGTTCATGATCTTCATTTCTGTTTATACCACCTTCCAGCCCATGATTCTTTGACACTTTGAAATTCCGTTTAGAAGTTTTTTCTGAGCCACGATTCCTGGGTAGAAACTTTGCAAATGACTTAATCAGTGATGCACTGTTGTTGGTATTTCCACTCATTGCAGTAGTTTGGGAAGGAATGTTGAGCTTGTGTTGCACCCACCGCATAGCACCGGCCTGGGGGAGGGCTGCCATTGGAAAATACAAGGAAGGGCTTGGTCCTAAGTAAAATATCCCAAAGTATGCCACTGAAAAGGTTCTCCTGGGTGTAGCTGCCTGATAAGATCTGAGTTCTAGTGAAATCACAGGATTTTTGAGTGTTTTAAAGGGGGAGTGGAGGACAGTGAGTGGTCACGCTGTAGCAAACATGTCCAGATATGATATGGAGAGCCTTTGCTGCCTTAACGTGGGTGACGGTGCCAGAACTTTCTGTGTTTTCCTTTCATTACGTTTAACTTTTATTATCTCGTAACTTCACTCTTATTTGTTATCAGATTATTTTAAATTTTTATTTCATTTTGCTTTGACATAATATCAATTACATCAATGCAGGAAGTTTTTTATTATTCCAATCTTGAGCCACAGAAAAGTTTGTGTGAACAAAGAAGCAAGAAGCTGATTTGAATCTTATTTGTTATTTCCTGCTTTTCTGCTGTGGCATGCGTGGAGGTTATGGATAAACTTCCTCCAGTGTTAAGTTGCTGGGAGTTGCTCTTAAGTTGCTCTTTAATTCTAGGTTTCATATAACACAGTGCAGGTTTAGAACAACAGAGAGATACAGGAAACATCTCCCAGTTATTTGTCATCTTACTAGTATTTTCAACACTCAGTGTTTTTTCAATTGTTGATATTTAATTAGTTTTTTAAAAATAGCCGATACCACTCTTTGTATATAATCCTTTGAATCATTTCAAAGGATTCTGAAAACAAGCAGATGAAAGTGAAATAAAATTTTTCTATATCATAATTTGTAATTTGTTGTTTGGTTCTCTGTTTCCTCCAATGGTTTCGTGGTATTTATTATTTATAAACTGGCCGATTAATGTTTAAGGTTTAAATGCTTAAATTTTGATGAACATCCATTATGTGTTTTTTATTTAAATCAGAACATCAGTGCCTGAGGGACTTTCTAAAGAGCCATTTGTGCATCCTCTTTTCAGTCATCATTCGTTCTACAGTAGCAAACAAGTGGAGCTGAAATGTTGCTTTATACTGATGTCTCGGATCTTTCTGGCTGCTTCTAGTGACTAAGGAAGGGGCTCGACAAACTGTTCTGCAACATGGAGAAGGGTGAGATGAAGATCCTCAACAAAGGGGAAGAGGAGGAGATGGTACGTCCTGATTTAACATCACTAGCTATATATCCATCCAGTTGTCATGCAAATTTTCTGTGAACTTTTGACATGTTGCAAATTAAAAAGAAGAAAATGTGAATCAGGTGTGTTTCCATCTTCTTGTTGGGAACATCAGGCTATGTAGAGTCTAATTTTATCAGATGTTGGTGCAACTGACAAACACATGGCTGTAATGAACAGTAAATAAAGATTTCAAAGTGGACAAATCGCACGTCTGAGAAAAAAGGACAGTCCTGTCACGGTACACTCCTACCAGTGGATGAGAACGTTTTTACAGAACTTATTTTGCAAATGTATTTTCATCTTTCCTTTAGCTCATTAATTATTTTTCAGAAAAGCCAGCATGAAAAGCAGCATGAAACCTTTTTTTATCATTTCAAATTTTGCTGTTTCCATCAAGCATTTCTAATGTGATACTTCAAAATGCATAAATCTTGATGGAAACATGATTACTGTCTATTCTAGAATTTTCTCTCTTCACATTACAAACTTTCCCCTGTCTTTACATAGGAGCTGCAAGGCTACCGTCTCTGCCGTTGGCGACTGGCCCTTGTAGGCTTCGGTGTACTCTGTACCGGAGGCTTCCTTCTCCTGCTGCTCTACTGGATGCCAGAATGGTGCGTCAAGTCCACCTGCACCCGTACCACCGTTCGTGATGCCGAAGTGGTGTTGCTGCGCTCCACGGTAGGAAGCAAGTTCGTGCTGATCAATCTGCCCGTTTGTACATTTCATCTTTCATTTATCTATCCAGTGACTGATACTGTTTGCAACATTTTCATCCTGAATCAAATCAGTTTTATTCAGTTTATTTATAAAGTGCCAATTCACCACAAAGTAATTTCAGATTAATCCAATTCATTGCAATGTATCCAGTCTAATTCAGTCCTAACTTGTAATACAGTACAGACGATCTTACTGGGAGGTTTTTTTTATTTTGTTATTTTTTTTAAAGTAAAATGTCACCTCTTCGTTTAAGGATAGCCTAATGCATCTAGTTGATGTTCCTCTTACTGAGAAAGCATGTTGTGACAGTGGAGCAGAACAGCTGTTTAACAGGAAGTAACCTGAATCAGTACCAGTCTCAGGATGAAGGATGTTCTTCTGCAACCAGCAGGGGATTAAGAAGACAGGAAGGGTTTACTGGAAAAATGAAAACAGATGCACTGAGCCAGGAGTACTTTTTTCAAGAAACAATCTTTTATTAAAACTAAAGTAGTAATGATAGCTCTAATATAAATTGACTCAATCAACAGAAGATAAAATTGGAGATAATTACTGAGTCATGTTACATAAGGCCTGTTATCTCATATGTGTGGGTGGCCTTTTGATGATATCGACACAGCCACTGCTCAAAGGTTGCAACCTAAAACATCACAGCAGATTAATGATAATATTGCGACTGTTTGATTATTGTGATACTTTGGAAAATCAGGTATTTAAATTGCTAATTTGTCCTCCACCTACTTAAGTTGCACCTAATTCATCAATTCCTGAGGCTCATAGGCTTACAACCTGATAAAAAGATAACTGAAATCAGATGAGTGGATTCATTGAGACCAACTGATAATTACACAATCACAGATGCATGAATGCAAAGGAAATTGTGTGTTTTAAGTCCTATTTCTGTTCGATCAGTTTTATTTTCCGGTGCGTGTGTGAGATGTTGTGTTGGTGTATTTACTGACTTCTGGTTCTCCTTGCTGCTGTTGACTAGGATGAGTTCCGGCGCTGGTTCCTGGCCAGGGTACGAGTGATGCTTGCTCCGGGGAGCAACCCCTTCCACAGCCTGGAGACCCAGACCACCTCCCCTCCCTCCTCCCCTTCCTGCCCCTTCTCTAACCCCTCCCCTTCACCTCTGGCCAACGGACACACACCTCACCCCTCCGATGGCAGCCCTGCTCAGGAGCTCATTAGAAGATTTTCTTACTACCAGCCCACACAGGTAGCTAAATCTCTCATCGCAACAGGATATCAGGAGCAACTGAACTTGAAGCTGATGTTGAACATAGAGCAAATGAGCCCCGCACTGCTCCCACAGCTTTTTCACCCTGAGGATTTGCTGTGGTATCTGGCACCAAGACGTTAGCAACAGACCCAATAGACGGGGCGCGGCCGACCATGCGTGGAATTTTGAGGCCAAGTCAATAGCTCAAACCTTGTTGCTGTAATCATTCCTGAAACTTTCCTGCTTTTTTCCTCCTTTCCTTTATGACAGGGTGCATAATCTTGCTGAAAGAGGCCACAGCCATGAAAAGATGTGTGGTCTGCAATAATGCTTAGACGGGTTCTATATGAGGGTGAGAAGGTGCTATATCAAAGCATCCCAATGTTTGCAATATGCATATTGTAGAGGAATTTACACTAAATGTCAACTTGTTATTTAGGTGCCATGTATCCAGTCGTTCTCCATCTGTAATAGATTTTAAGTTTGCCTGTTATTTAATGGGGTGCTACTATGTATCTTCCAGGCACACAATACCATTTTATAGCACAATCAAGTTACTGTAACCCTCAGTTGTTATAAAATTTTGTTTATGGTAAACATAGCTTAAAAGAAATTTGACTTTCCAATTTAATGCCTTGAAATTCTCCCTCTTTAAGAAGGTCCTACTCTTTCTGACACTCCACCTTCAGGAAGTCTACACAACAACATTCCTCCATTATGTCATTTACAACTAAATCTGAATTGAGAAGTAGTTATTTAAGCTGATTAGATGTGTACTTCCATCAGTGGGGAAAATGTGGAGCAGGAGCTCGACAGGAGGCTGCAGCTCCGAGGAGGAGCTCTGTGGAAGTAGGCGGGTGATCAGACACTGAATTTTTGGCATTAAAAACCAGTATTGCATCCATAAATATTAGATTAGATTAGGTTGGTGGTGCAAGATACAAGATCCTGGATTCAAGCGCATTAATGTTACACAAACAATAGCAATACTCCAGTCAGATAACTTTTAATTAAATTTTTTAAAGGGTGGAGTGATTGTCTCCTGTTCGACTTTGCTCCTCCACTTTAAACCACAATCAGGCGCCAGTGATGTTGACTGCACATTTGTGTTTTGTTTCCAGTGTCTATCAGGGATGTTTTATGGTATTTTAATCATGTGGATATTTGTTTTATGATACAGATTTCATATCACAACTGTTAAACATTAACTTGAAGTTCATTTTTAACCCTGAATTATTCATCATCCACTCAGTTATTTTTCTATTCACTACATGACATATTATTATGAACTCGTAATAAAGAAGTAATTCATTGGCAAGTTTTCTCCGCATTTTCGGTATGTGGCTACTAGTAACTCATCTTTATTTTGTTTTTCTTTGTTCCCTTTTCTCTCTTAGATTCGCTATTTCACCTTCCATAGCACAAAGTATTACTGGAATGACGAAATGCAGAACTTTAAAGTTTTAACGTAAGACATTTTTTTACAATCTACCTCTTTAGTATTAAATAAGCTGGAATCCAATTTGTGAGAATCATAACTGAAAGTTGATCAAATGCTTTGCTTGCAGCCTATGTGTAATGTGTTAACTTTGTCTCCGTTTTTTGTTTGTTTGCTTTGGGGCACACATTATTTAGCGGCCTGGAGGATCTTGAAGTCAGTTGCTCTACTGTCCACTCAGAGCACAGTGCAGGCCTGACCAGGAACCAGCAGGAGTACAGGTACAACAGATCAAATCATAGGAGGATTCCTTGCCTCCTTTTTTCCTCCTTCCTGTATGTCTTTCCTTTATTCCATTTTGTGCCCTTCTTTCTTTGCATCTTTAATTTCTTCCTTGTGTTCATGTCTTTTTTACCTTCTTTCTCTTGTGTTTTTTGTCATTCCTTGCATACTGTCTCCCTCTCTGCTTTCTCCCTTTCTTGCCATTCTTTCCTTCCTGAAATCATTCACTTTTTTCTTCCTCGTATCCTACCTCCATTCCTTCCAGCTTCAGTTTTATTCGTATGCTATTTTTAAACCATTTCCACAACATCTCCAGTAGTTCCATAATGCACTTTATTATTTTTTTTTTATATTTTGAATTTAAATTGAAGGACTTGAACTTCAATTGCAGTATTTAACCTGGAGAAGTATTTTGTTAATGGGAGACAGAATATTTTTGGAGAATTAGTTAATTTGGGGGTTTTGAGCTCACAAAGGTAATTGTTGATATTTGTAGATTTCCAAACTAGCGAAAATATTTTGATATATTTTACTTTATGTAGCAAACTCCAATAAAAACTGCTCTTTGGTATGTAGTTTGCATCACTCTGATGCATTTTGTGTATGTTGCTTTAAGCTTGTGGGTGTGGCTGAATGCATTGTTTCTCTCTCCTTTTGTTAGGAGACTGTTCTTCGGAGTGAATGAAATTGCAGTGAAAGTGCCTTCTGTTTTCAAGCTGCTTATCAAAGAGGTAAAAACCAGTTTCAGTCAAAATAATCTGCATGTTTTTTAAGTTGGTCTGAATTCCTATTTACTCTCACTGTGTGTAAAACTTGACTGGCAGAGTCGACACATTTTTACCAGTGTTATGAGTTTAGTACATTTGGACTTTAAATCCTGAATATGTGATCCTCTTCAGAGACTGGACCCTTTATCTTTGTTTATTACTTTAAGACTACCTCATGAAACAAGTTATATCTCCCTTTTGTCTATATCTTCTATTCTTCTCAGTTTATTTTGATAAACATGTAATCAATTGATTGCATAAGGATCAAATGGTGGATTACTCTCGAGTAATTTGCATGTCAGGAGATTGTAGAAACCCCAGTTGTTTTCTTATTCCATTAAACATAATTTTTTTTTGTCTGAAAACAAAACCAGGATGTTTTTGTTTTCAGGTTGATATGCAACTCTTCTTCTCTATCTCCTTCTGCAGGTCCTCAACCCTTTTTACATCTTCCAGCTCTTCAGCGTAATCCTGTGGAGTACCGATGAGTATTACTACTATGCTGTGGCCATTCTTCTCATGTCAGTTATATCCATAGCTACCTCTCTGTACACCATCAAAAAGGTAAGACTTACTAATTAACATGTATAAATACAGTTTAGACGTGTTCTACAAATTGGTGTGTAAATATGCAACTATGAAATTACACACAAGATACTATTGCTTAAAGTTTAAAACATTTAATAACTTAATGATGTATGATTCAGAGTAATTTTGAATTTTGCCCTGTTTATTTTTATATTCTGTAGCACTGATTATTACTAAAGTTTTTTAGTAATAATCAATAATCTCTAAGAGAGAAAAGGGAACAAAGAAAAAAGGTTTTCTTCTTTGAATCTACATAACATGAACACATAATGACAGGTTTAGCGGATTTAGTAGTTTTATATCCACCTAAATTTCTTGTATCTCTGCCAAATGTTTATCTTTCTATGTTAGACTTCTAGTTTCTATAAAATTAGTCAAATTTTTGATTTTTCTTATTTTAGTGTTTAGTCTATTGATTAAGTTTTCACTTGAACTGATTTAAATGTTATATATTTTTTTTAATTTTTTAATACATTTTAAAAGCCCAAATTAGACATTTATACCATGCCTTAAATAAATCAAAGACCCATTAAGTTAATAAGTTTCCTATGGGTTCAAGAAGCAACTCCAACATGAATAAATTAACAATATCAAGTCATTTTACTCTTTGTTTATAAACAAAGAAGCAGCAAATTAATTGTTTTCATTACTGTTAATCTCTCCTTTCTCCAGCAATACGTCATGCTTCACGATATGGTGGCAGCTCACAGTATTGTCCGTGTGTCTGTTTGCCGAGCCAATAATGGTATGCCAACATCTAAGTTATATTGTCTTGTTATGGGTTTTGTAGACTTTTATCTATATATTGCCATCCTAAATAGATTTATACAAACCCCATATGTTGAAATTAAAATGCCTTTGTTTAATTTAATTTTAGTTTTAATGTAAATAAAGTATTTCTGTGGATGTTCAGCAAATTTGCATATAAACCACTTCCGTGCATCCTCATGCTCACTCTTTGTTTATGCTTCAAACTTTATTTGTGTTGCATTGAAATGCAGTTTTTTTTCTAACTCCTGCTTCTCCTGGCAGATGTTGAAGAGATATTGTCTACTGATCTGGTACCTGGTGATGTGGTGGTCATTCCAAGCAACGGGACCATCATGCCATGTGACGCAGTGCTGATCAGCGGCACCTGCATCGTCAATGAAAGCATGCTCACAGGTAAACCCGTGTCTAGTAGCAAGGTGCATTGTTCCGTACAGCACAATAATAGGATTCCCTTCATTAGGTGAGAGTGTTCCTGTGACAAAAACCAACCTCCCCAACCCACTACCAGGAGAGCGGGAGGAAGCAGACAGTGCCTACAACACCGAGGAGCATAAGAGACACACACTGTTTTGCGGCACCAACATCATCCAAACCCGCTTCTACACAGGAGAACTGGTCAAAGCCGTGGTTGTCCGCACAGGTCAGCAGGGGGGCTTGGATGCAGGAACTTAATTGTTTGCATCTTGATTGTTTCAAGATGCAGGAACTTGATTGATCCAGAAAACATCCATTTTCTGGATGTTTTTGCTGTTTTTGTGATGCAGAGTAAATAATATAAATTATTTTAATAAATAACTTAATAATGATATCCTATTCATTCAGAAGTAACTCTTCTGAGTTATCTTTTTTCCCAAAAAATTTAAATGTTAGCTTGCAAGTGGTGCACAATACTGCTCAACATGAAATAAAACATTTTAAATTCTGGTTTCTAAAATATTATCAGATTCTTTTAAATCTATGAGTCACAATAGACTTTTTAAATTATGGTGTCATCAGTTCATTTTCTCTTAAGCAAATGTAGAGTAAATCTGATTTAAAAAAAAAATCTAGAATAATAACAAATATATTGTTTTCCTTGCAGGTTTCAGCACAGCAAAAGGCCAACTGGTGCGCTCCATTCTTTATCCAAAACCCACCGACTTCAAGCTGTATCGTGACGCCTACCTCTTTCTGCTGTGTCTGGTGGCCGTGGCTGGAATCGGCTTCATTTACTCAATCGTCCTCAGTGTCATGAACGGGGTAATGCACAGGGAAACCAGCAGAGCAAGCTATTTTCTTGTTTCTCAAACAATTCCTTATGAGCAGTTTTTTTGGTTTTTTTTTTTTTTACTTGCAGGTCTACAAGTGAAAGCATTTCAGTCTGATTGTTGACGAGTTCTGTGTCTGAGCTTTAAATTGAACTAAATAGCAAAACCAATGTAACAAAAACAGCTAAATTTCATTCTTTTTTCCTAATCATAAAACATGTTGCTTGTTACTAAAACATAAAATTTAAATTTGATTAGCATGATATTCAGTATCTGCTTATTTCATCCTAATTTTTAGGATGCTTTTTTTTTTTACACTTCAGCTTATTGTTTTACTCTTGAAAAGTGCCGTTTATCAAAAACTGTTTGCTTAATTGAAGAATTTTAGGCTTATTCACAGCATCACAGAACTTTTTCTGTAGCTCTTGGTGAACAAAATATACAGAGTTTTGTATTGAAAAAGATAAACAGCAGATGTGATGAGGCATTCACTGCTTTTGTAGCTCATTTTGGGAAATGTTGCCAGGACTAGTAAAAATGATCCTTGAAATGCTAATAAGGATTTGAGCACATAAGAAATTATTCCAACAAGAAAAATTGAAATCTTTTGCATTTTATTCTATTGCAGGATAAAGCAAAAACCATCATCATCGAGTCTCTGGACATCATAACCATCACGGTGCCACCAGCGCTGCCAGCAGCCATGACAGCGGGGATTGTGTACGCCCAGCGGCGTCTTAAAAAGATTGGCATTTTCTGTATTAGCCCACAGAGGATCAACATCTGTGGACAGATTAATCTGGTTTGCTTTGATAAAGTAAGTCTTCTTAGACAATACTGAAAAACAAAAATACAACAGCATGAACGGTTGCTAGAATGGAAATTATATTTTCTTTACATTTTTATTCTTTAAGACCGGAACTTTAACAGAAGATGGATTGGACATGTGGGGAGTTCAGAGAGTTGAAAGAGGCCGGTATGTTGGTTTGATTTATGAAATATGGAAACATCAGAGACCTCAGTCCAAATTGCATTTACTCTGTGATTAGTTTTAAAACAGTTGTCAAAGTCCAGACACATTCTGATATTTGCTCAGGAGAGGATATTTCTGGGCCATAAATCAGAAGTGAAAGTCACAATCAGGTTTAATAGGAGTGTTGTTGCTTTTTCTCTCCCATAACCACATTTTCTTCCTTGATCAGTTTTCACTTAACAGAGGAAAGTGCCCACAAGGAGAATCTTGTTAAGTCCCAGTTTGTGGCCTGCATGGCCACCTGCCACTCGCTTACCAAAATAGAAGGCCAGCTGTCTGGAGATCCACTGGACCTCAAAATGTTTGAGGCTACAGGCTGGGTGAGTTGCTCTGAATATATCCAGTAACATTGTGTTGATCCAGAATCCTCCTCCATTTGAAAGCTTGCAGTGTGAGATTCAGTGAGAACTACAACTTCAGTTTAACTTGATTAGATGAGGTTATGTTTATGTGTATGTTTATGCTTTGTTTGGCACAACCCAGGTATAATGATTATTGGAACCTTAATGCTCAGGTTCATATGAAAACAACTTTATTGCTAAAAATTAATTAACCTTATGTTTGGAATGTGAAAATGAACACTAAATTTATGTACAAATATTTATTTTTCTTTAACTTCATCTTCTCCAGATTTTGGAGGAAGCCACCGAAGAGGAAACTGCTCTCCATAACCGCATCATGCCCACCGTTGTCCGACCACCAAAGCAGCTGCTGCCCTCCCAGCCTGATGAATCGACCGAGCAGGACATGGTACGTACAGAAACTAAACACTTGGAACAGCTGAGCCGCGTCAGTTATGCATCAATAACTTACTTAATAGAGAAGATCTCAGAAAATATGTCCAAATTTGTAAAGTTATCCATAAAAAAATGACAACAGTCAAACTTCATGACTTTGAAATTTATTTTGTCTTGTTTTTTTTGTTTTTATAGGAACTCGCTGAGTTTTCAGTAAGTATTTTTGAAGTTTTTGATCATTATATAAAATCATTTTCCTTTTGAAATTAAAGTGAAGCTTCAGGATTATTTAAATAATTGAAATTTGAGGCTTTTCTCTTGTTCAGATTTTGTAGTTTTTTTGTTTTGTTTTCTTTAAACACCCGGCTTAAAAACAATAATTGACTATTAGTACATTAAAGTCCCATACTTAAAACTGTGTAAATGTACTCTACTCATAATTACTAAATAAATCAGATACTTTTCTGGATCTGCTTGTCTACAGTCATTATACGAGATTGGTATCGTGCGGCAGTTTCCTTTTTCCTCGGCGCTTCAGAGGATGAGTGTTGTGTCTCGTACTCTGGGGGAGAAGTGTATGGATGCCTACATGAAGGGAGCACCAGAGGTGGTGGCCAGTCTTTGCAAGAGAGAAACAGGTGAGGTGACCAACATGAGTTTCTGCTAAGGAGTTGAATCAAATCATAAGGCTGTGGAAATAACACAATTCCCACAAAAAGACACTCTTGAAATGATTTTCATCACTTTTTGTACATTTGTTTTCATATAACCTCTGTAAATTTTGTAATGTTTGCAATGTTGCAATAAAATAGTGCTGTAGATTGGATTTCCTTTCATTTCACTCTCTATCCAAATATTTTTCCCAGTTCCGGAAAACTTTGCCGAGGTTTTGGAGGGTTTCACTAAGCAGGGATTCAGAGTGATCGCTCTGGCTCATCGGCGACTTGGATCAAAACTCAACTGGCACAAAATCCAAAACGTCAACAGGTAGTTAAAAACATTCTCCAATTTGTGAAGGATTTTTAAGATAAGATGCTCTATAAATGCATCAAAAAGTTAAAGTTTTTAATGGCACAAACTTCATTTTGTATTTATTTAGATATTTTGTTGTTGTTTTGCTACCAGGGATTACATAGAGGCAAACATGGAGTTTCTGGGACTCATCATCATGCAGAACAAGCTGAAGGCTGAAACTCCAGGAGTGCTGCAAGACCTCCATCGAGCAAACATTCGAACCATCATGGTTACTGGTGAGAGCAGAAAAAAAAATCTTAAAATATTACAAAAAACACAATCAATCAAAAGCTCACTCAACTCTTTGGTTTTACCTTAATATCTGCTTGATAATATGAAAAATATGTGGATGATTTTTTTTTTCCACTTTCCAGGCGACAACATGTTGACGGCAGTCTCTGTGGCCCGTGACTGTGGAATGATCCCTCCCGAGGACACGGTCATCATTGCTGATGCCCTTCCTCCTCATGATGGACAAGCTGCCAAAATCACATGGAGATACGCTGACAGGCCCAGCAGAACCACACGACTCGAGGTAAAGAGAAAAAAAGATTCCCAACTGTCTGAGATCAAGACTAAAGTTCCATCTTCTCGAATTAAAACTCTGTAAAAATGATCTTTTTGTTGTGTGCAGGTGTTAATGAAATTAATTGAGGGGAAATTAATTACCATGTTGGATTTTTAATTACAGCCACTTTTAATGCACAGGGAAACATTATGGTGCTTATTTCCCAAAACTTTGTCATTAGCAGAAAATTTTAGTATTTGTATCTGTTGTGACTAACCCACAATTGTGACTTTCAACAGGAAATTAACATCAGCCTGGAGGATGAAGGTCATGCTGAGCAGCCCCAAACACAACCACTCTACCACTTTGCAATGAACGGAAAATCATTCGCTATAATCGCTGAGCATTTCCCAGACATGCTTCAGAAGGTACGACAAATCTTCTACTAAACTGGAAATCCTGTGTGTATTTATTGAAACAGACGCTGGAATGTTGAAACCGATCCCAACGTTTCATGAACGTTGAGCCTTGTGTTATTGTTTGCAGCTTGTGCTGCACGGGACAGTGTTTGCCAGAATGGCGCCGGACCAGAAAACCCAGCTTGTTGAGACACTACAGGGAGTGGAGTGAGTCTTAATGTTTTACACTGAATTATGACAACACAGGCACAAGAACCTGGATTAAATGAACAAATTTCTTTTGATAAAATCATGGTGTTGGATCTTTTTACATCAGCTTTTTGATACTAACCAGTGACTATCATTTGCTGCCAGCTACTATGTGGGAATGTGTGGAGATGGTGCAAATGACTGTGGGGTATGTAAGCTGTCAGTAGACTGACAGTCCTATTTGTAACAGCAACTTGGTATAGCTCTACCCGTAATTCAACAAGTTTAAGCAGTTTTTCTCTTCAACAAAAGGCGCTGAAGAGGGCACATAGTGGGATCTCTCTGTCGGAGCTGGAGGCCTCAGTGGCTTCCCCCTTCACCTCCAGGACCCCCAACATCTCCTGCGTCCCGAGCCTGATCAGGTTTCTGTTTGTTCCCTTTTACAGTGCCTCATGGAAGTCATTTCTCAGCATGCACATTCTAACTACAATCTTTAATATATTTTATTGCAAAAGTGCCCTAGTACTGCATAACTGAAAGAAGAGGATGAATGATTTTGCTGATTAAAAGAAAAAGTAGGGTGTACTTTTTACTCTTGATACCTCTGAATGAAGCCCATTGGAACCAGCTGCGTTCAGAAAGCATATAAATATTAAATGGAGCCCACTTATGTTGCTGCAGAGATCTACTTTTAAACATTAGGTCCTGCACACTGCTAATTTAGTTTTCATGAGAGATTGGAAAGAGGAAGGTCATTGTGTAAAGCACAGGGCTGCAACCTGCAGTTGCAGATTCACAGGTCAATTAGAAGCTTCTACAATGACCTTTCATATCTTTATTTCATATTATTTTTAAAAAACAACTAATGTTTTTCAGAATAGATATAATGGCATGCAGGTTTAACATTTTCTAAATGAGAGCAAAGCTCGTAAAATGTAATATGAGGCAAAAAAAACCACATCATCCTGAACCCACTTTCTAAACTGTGAAACATGTGATAGTAGCATCATGCTTTGGGCTGCTTTTATTCTCCCCAAAACTGAACAAAACCAAAAATACTGCTTCATGTTTATGTAATTTAGCAACATGTTTATAGTAATTACATGAAAGCCCACAATACAATCTGCTGATGTTTCTTTATTCCTCTATTGGAGATTTTTTTTTTCTTAATTCAGTGATATTAAATGCTACTCTGTCAGAAGTGAAGCATTTTTCTCTTTCTCATTATGTATTGGATAGATGGACATTGTTTGTTTGTCTTTACAGGGAGGGACGCGCTGCTCTTATCACCTCCTTCTGTGTGTTCAAGTTTATGGCTCTCTACAGCATCATCCAGTACATCAGCGTCACTCTCCTCTACTCCGTAAGCAGTGTGGCTGCCTCAGTTATAAGATGAGTAAAAACCAGAAGAAATTCAAAATATTTACCAATCCATGTTCATTCTGTGTCTTAGGTATTAAGTAACCTTGGAGATTTCCAGTTCCTCTTTATTGACATTGCTATCATCCTCCTAATTGTTTTCACCAGTAAGTTTTGGAAAATTATTGCAGAAAAAGCTTGACTTTTCCTTAAAAACAAAATACTTAATGTACTTAATATTTCTCCTGTCTCTTCAGTGAGTTTGAACCCGGCTTGGAAAGAACTGGTGTCACGTCGCCCCCCATCAGGACTAATCTCAGGCCCTCTGCTGTTCTCTGTGCTGACCCAAATCCTCATCTGCTTGGGCTTCCAGACCATTACATTTCTTTGGGTCCAAAAGCAGCCATGGTTCGAGCGCTGGACGCCTGCTACAAAGTAAGTGTCCTGCGTAGAGCGGCTCATCGGAAATAATGCTACATCGCTCCTGTCTGTAGTTTCTAATGACACTGTTTGATATATTTCTGTCCATTCCCAGCGTCTGCAATCAGTCGGATCACCTGAACGTGTCTGGATTCAACAAAACAGAAGTGGATGATCACAACATCCAAAACTTTGAGAACACCAGTCTCTTCTACGTCTCCTCCTTCCAGTATCTCATTGTCGCCATTGTTTTCTCCAAAGGCAAACCCTTCAGGCAGCCGAGCTACAAGAACTGTGAGGCCTCTTCTTCTCAATCCTGCTTTGCTGTAATATTTAGCATTTATATATTTAATGGATGACTGACTGTCTTTTCAACAGGGCCTTTTGTTCTATCTGCTGTGAGTTTGTATTTCTTCCTGCTGTTCATCATGTTTCATCCTGTTGAAGGCATTGATTACGTTCTGGAAGTAAGTAAAGATGAATATTAGGTACTCGGTTCTGGTACAGACGGCTTTAATAAGCCAAGTTTTATTTTCTCTTCATACACACTGCATTTATCCCCTCATTAAATAAATGTAATCCAATTAAAGGTGCTTTTTTCAGTGTGAGAATTTTCTACTTCAATAAAATATTTGTTTAAAAGTCTTTTTAAAACCCTCTTCAAGGGGTGCTGTCATATTTGTGTGTAGTCGCATGTGTAATTTGAACTGTTAACTTTCCTGCTCATAAATATTTTCAACAGTGTATTATTTTTGTTCCGTACAGATTGTTTGTGTCCCTTTTGAATGGAGGCTAACGCTTCTCCTGATAATCGTAGTCAATGCTGCTGTGTCTGTTTTGGTGGAGGTAAGGTACACACATGCACACGCACACACATAGTGACCCTTGCCGCTAGATGTTTTTGCCATGTTCATTTTTCACTTTTTCATGCAATGTGCTCATCTTTGTCTTATGCAACCTTACAGTGGGATCAGTCTTTTGTTGTGATGAGAAAATGTTTTTATAAATGGAAAATTGTCCCTTTGACCATTTTTGATGAATGTGATTATTTTTTGACTATCAATTTTTTTCCTCGGGATTATAGAGCAAATATTGTTTCAATCATTGGCAGAGGCTTTTTAGAAATAGAAGTGTTTAATCAGTGATCAGTAGTTCATGCTAACCTGCCCTGAGCAGCATCACAGTTTCTCACCTTCCCTTTAGATGGCTGCCCTCAAAACACACACTGCTTAGCAAACATCTCATATTTTTCTGTCTCAGAGCTACCAGTGCAAACTCTGCTGATCTTTGAAGCGAATTAACTAATAAAGCTTAACTGATTTCACATAATCAGATGTTTTCAGTTTCTCTAACACTGAAGAATCCCTATATATTCTTCCTTCTCAAATAATTTTTTTTAATTCCGAACATAATTACAGTCTCACAGCCTTTGGAGAAATCATCTTTGCAAATACATAATCTCTTAAAGCTCTGTTGCAAGATCAGCTTGAAGACCTTTGTGCCAAAATAAAAGCAGGAGCAATGGGAAGCCAAATTTGCCTCTCTTTAATTATTTCCCTGCCCAATGCACTGTTATTCCTTAGACCTTCATCCTTGACATCATCTTATGGAAGCTTGTGCTCAGCAGAGACAAACAGGCCAACTATGGCGTCACCCCTGCCGCCCCGACACCACAGGTTGGGAAAATCTGACACCTTTTTCTCTAGCCCTTTCTTGTTGCTCATGTGTGGTGTTTCCTCTTTCTGTCCTATCTTCTTCTTTCTCTAATGTCATGAAGCGCATCTTTCTGATATAACTGCTATCTGAGACATGCATGAGAGCAACCCCAATGTTATTACCCCCCTGTGGATGGTCTGTCTAGGAAATATACAAGTTCAGTCAAAAAGTGCAAATATTGCTCTATTTCTCCTAGCTTCCATACATTACAACTTTGTTTTCTAAAATAAATAGTAACAGTCTTATGTAGAATAAAATGATAGGATTGCAATGATTTGCAATAGATAACAGTTTAATTGACAGACAAAATAGTGACAAAATAACAAACTTTATTGGTCATTTTAAAAGTTTTTAGCCAAACATGGATTCAAATTCTGTTCAAATACTTGAGTTCTTTTTTTATTTTTTTGTTTAACTTCCAAACTTTTTGTGAGAAAGGCTGTGTTATATTTAAATAGTATCTTAATTTGTTGCCAGACTGGAGTATCTTATCATGCTTGCTACTGTCCTTCCCTTCTGCTGTGCTGCCAGCAGTTAAAGCTTGTTTGCTGCACCAATCCTAGTTTTTCTTAGAGTCCAGCCAAGCATGTCAGTCACCACTCAGTGTATGACCTCAGGAATGTCATGATTTACAAACAAACAAAAAAGCCTGACCCTTATTTGTCATTATAGAGCTAGTGAAAAGACTTTTTGTTTGTATCTTTGAAGTGTGTCTTTGTGGCCATCTTTAAAGATCTTTGTTCAGTCTCCATGAGCTTGTTTTAAGGAGTTTGCACAGTCTTTTCAACTGTTGACAACCAGTTCCTTAAAGTTAATATTTGAAAAACATGCATGTATGGATTTTACCTGTTTATCACAGAACTGGATCCCTGAGTTTGATGTTTTGCATGCAATAAATATAGCAAGCTACAAACACCTGATCCAGAGTTTTAGATCAACTAAACATATATTAATGCCGTTATCTTTTTCTTCTTCTTTTCCTTTTAATGCATCTGTTTTTTTTTTTGTATTTTTTTACAACCTGGGGATTTCTAGGGGGTGATTGACATGCAGGCATTCAAGTGTCTGTTCAGGTTGTGTCCACGCAAGACGACGCCCAAGGCTCGATACATGCATCTTGCCCAGGAACTGAGTTTGGACCCAGACTGGCCCCCAAAGCCGACCACCACCACAGAGGCCAAGCCCCACCCTGAAAACGGCTCTGTCTATGATATCATAATCCACTCCTAGCATTGCCACATTCCCAAACTCTATGGAGTCCCCAGCTCTCTCACAGGAAACTTGCATATGAGGAATACTAAGGGAAGTGCCTATTCTCATTCTCTCAATCATCTTTACTCTTCATGCAAAAACTCCATAATTTATCACAAATACCAAAACAAGTACCTTCGCAACTTTCAGACTACTCCTGCTTTCTCCATCTCACTCCATATTGATGCTCTCAGGTCTCATTATTATTTGACATTTCTGTAAAAGCATTATTGCTCTTTTACTCATATGCCATTCCTTATGTCTGTTTATAAAAGCAGAGGAGCATCCAACAAACACTTGCAATCAAAGTGAAAGTTGTGTGGTGACACCTTGTGGTATAAGTTGAACATCCTGTCAGTTTGAGGAAAACCATGTGAAAGGTCACTTCAAAAATGTGTATTCACTCGCAAATATAAAACATGTTTTATAAGATTGTTATAAACGTCAGGTTCTATTTTACACCTTAATAATCGATACGTGATTGACAGAAACTGTGAAAACCTTTAAAAGTACAAATAAACTGAGTGAAGCTGTTCAGTGTAGGATTGACAACATTTTGCCCTAGGAGCGAAGCTTTCAGATTTATCCTTTTCTGAATAAAAATATTGATTTTATAAAAAAAAAAAAAGGTTGGAGGTGAAATGTTTGGAGGATAGAAGAAAAGAAATGCACTTTAAAAGATTAAGGTAATGGATGAAAATATTGATTGACTTGATATAAAATGGTTCATCTCTTTTTAGAAAATGTACTAAAGTAATTTGATTATTATGGGCTCTGATTACTGCTGTGTAACAGTCATCAACAACTACTATATTAAAAATGAGGAATTATTTTATTTGGCTGAATATTTCCTTTTGTGCAAGTGTACATCTTGGCAGTATGTCTTTATACTGTAGAAATGCCTGCTTGTTTCTCATTACGTACTAACACATTTAAATATATTATAAGCAATTTGTAGGGAGCACTGCAGAATTATGCTCAGAAAACACTTGTGAAATGGAAATGGGGATTGTGGCTTTATTTGCTTCTTATAGGGCCTTCAGTGGTGAGGGATTACATTGTTAAATCGAAAATGAATTATTCAAATATGTCACCATTCACAGGCAAATAGAATTTCTAGCACTAGACGATTAATTGTTCAGAACTGGTATTACCACAAAGAAATAATCAACCAAATACAAATTTCCTTAATTTTTTGCTTGTTCTTTTTACTACTAGAACTTCCATTCTGCAGTGCTTGAGCACCACTTGTTGGTTCTTAAGTATAGCGTATATACCAATTGAAAAAAGCTCCAATTGAGACAGCCAATGTAGCCTAATATTGGCTGACTATGATCACCTGCAAACTTCTCAATGTAGCCCGAAGATACATGTATATTCAAAAATACATACTAACTAATTTATGCATTAGCTTAGGGGCATGTTTAGTTGTTATTGGAATGAGGTAAAGAAAAAGTACTATCACATTACAGCAAGTGATTTGTTTATGCATAATGATCTCCTTCTAGACCAGCATAAAGCCTGTACTCTTTAGCTATTTGCAAAAATAGTTTTTTTTTTCTGTCTTTAAAAAGCAGAGTGTTTAGATTTAGAAAGGTTTTAAAATGGCACAACTTGTTTGAGGAAAGAAAATAGTTTGAGCTGACGAAGCTGAATTATGAACTGTATACTTGGTCTCAAAGGCCTACTAATTTTGTGTGAGCACAAAGTAAATTTAAATCACTTGAAGAATGAAAAAAATGCTTTTTGTTTTAAGAAAATGACCTACTCTCTAAACTGAACGACATTATCTTGAACTATTGCAGATAAATAACAGGATTGCCTTTGTGTGGCATGTTTCTCAGATGTCTCTAAAAACGGTTTCAAACTGCTTGAGTGTTTCGGCTCATTCTTGTGGCATGGTGTCTGCTGTAATTGTTCATGTTTATTTGTAGGAGTTTAACTCTGAGCAATGAAAACATGGGAGTTAAAGAGTTTTTATTTATTATATGTCCATATTGGCCACCTTCTGTCCACGAAATTCAATAATTGAACAAGAAATTATTGAATTTCTTGTTCACAAACTGCTATAGCTTCTCAGCATTTTCTGTAGATTTTGGAAGCATCTTTAAACCAATAGCTGAATCCTTGTAAACTCTGACAGCCGTAACATTAATGCTTGTCATTTCTTATACTTTTAATGCAAAAATGTTGACTTTGTGTGCTTCTGACACACAACAGATTACCCTTTAACTAAACCTTTATGAAAAGCATGCCAGTTTCAACATTTCCTCCATCAGTTTAGTATGCAGTGATCTCTTTGCAGACTGGAATGGTGCTTGCTTGTTTGTGAAAATGCTCTTCAGCATTCAGAGACCTGCATGAAGCCAGCTGCCTGACAGTTGTGATGCTATGCATTTAACTTCTAGCATGTGGCATAACTATAGGAATTAAGAAACATTAATACCTTACATTGAATATTAGAGACGTAAATAATAATACAGAAGTCCCAGAAACAGCATGCATCTGGTTGGCTGTTGTAAACTGTTAACCAAAAGCATGAGACTAGTTGACTTAAAGCTTCCTGCATCTTTGGATACGTTCCTGAAATCAGAAGTACGGCTTTTTGAAGCAACATTTCTTCCTGTGGAAGATTGATTACAGTTGAAATTAGTGAATAGGGTAAAGAATTGTGTGTCTCTTCTGTGTGCTGCTCCTGTTTTTTTTCTTCTCCCCTAAAAAATTATTTATGAATGATGATGCCTGATTAAATGGTTCCCTCCATGTCCATCACATATCCTCCATGCATAGAGTTAAGGGCTATATGTTGGGTTCAGTGCTCTTTATTAAACATGTAAAATAAAATAAAAAACAGCAGTAGGAGCTTAGATGTGAGCATTTTGTGATTGAAATACATATTTATATTTTATTTTGAACATTTTGAAATAGTTTGAAATAAAAATGGATCTACTGCCACAATGACATGCTCAAATCAGAAGATTACTCATACCCAATGCTTTTTTGAATCTATATAGAGTATTTATTGTGACCAGGTATTGGCCACTGACATTTCTAAGAGTCCATGATTTAGAAAATTCATTATTTTTCTAAGACTGAATGTAGTTGAGAACAAAATGTAATGCAATGCAAAACCACAATTACTGATTTTTATTTCCAAAGATATTTCTTCATGTTTACTGTTGCTTAAATTTGAAAAAGAGTGAATGAAAGAGATGAAAAGTTTGATTTTTAACCAGTGGTCAGGTGTTTCAAATGAGATGTGATGGAGCACATCAAGTAAATATTAAGTGGTTAAAATAATACAAGGTTTTGTTTGTGTATATATTGATGTACATTTCTCTCATCTGTGGAAGAGTTTAAATATTTAATTATAAAGATATATAGATTTTGAATTATAAAAGGGCTGGTGTGTTTTATTTTTTGCTTTATTTTCTACTTTTTGGTACTGTCACAATCAGTTGTCAATCTTTGATTTTTTAAATTTTTTTTTCTAGACTGTTTTGTGTTTTAACTTGTGTAATGTAACCATACTATCTGTGTTCTCTAATTGGGCATCAAACCTGGGCATTTCCTTCAGTCTGGTGAGAATACTTGGATAAACAAATTGCAGCCAGTGTCTGTTTTTGAGGTCTAGATTAAATAAATCAAACCTGAATAATTCGCTCATGCAGGTTCCAAATATCTGAAGAGATTTTTGTCTAGTTTCCCCTTTTCTTTATCTTGAAGTTTTCTAACTATTAAAAAGAAAAAAAGCTAACCAGAAGGGAATTCAACCCGCTTCATATTTCCAGTTTAATCATCCAAGGTGTGTCTTAACATTTTCTCTGAACTGTTTTAAGAAAACACATTATTTTGCTTCCATGTGAAATGTAGCTGGCAAATAAAATGTCCATTGCTGTTTATCATCTTGTTGCATCACACTGCTGCTAGGAGCAAAATAATTCACTCATCTGTGTCATATCTGCACCATTTATTTAGAAAATAAATAAATGTGTAAATACTACTTTTGCTTTTTTCTACTGTGTAGTTTTTGTTTTTAATTCAACTAACCTGCAACAGAGACATCTGAACACCTTCACTTTATGGTTCATATTTAAATAATGTTAAAACATATTTTCTCCTGGCATTCACATAGAGTCTAGGAGTGGATGAATAACTTGTATGTTAGAAATGAATAAATTGGACTTAATGCTTCACCCTGAAAAATGCTGTTAATTATATCTTTAACCAGTCTGTCTACAACTTAGTTCATACTTTCTTTTCTGTTCTCATTGTTTTCAGCTTCCTCACCTCGGATATATGTATTTTTTTATTGGCAGAGATGTGTAATATTTTGACAATTTTCTATTTTATAATTTATTTGTATTTATTTAGATTTTTTTTCCTCTGAAGATTGTGCTATAGCTTTATGTTGATTTGTTTTTCTTTACAATAAATGTTCTTTAAGCAACTTTTTTCCCATCAGTTTTTAATGTAATGTATTTATGAGATAGTTGTGCAGAAACATATATTTTTTGTATATGGAAATGTATATATAAATTTCTAGTTCACAAGTGTCCGCTTGACCTGTTTTAAATACAATTGGCCTCAAGAAACTGACAGTTGGGAGAAAAAAAAACTTGCTCCACGACTCATTCAGTACTGTTTTATGTCAGGGAGGGGAAAAAAAAGATTAGACAACGTTATTGGCAGATAAAGTGTTGTTGATAACAGGTAAGCAAAGTTGCAACGAGCCGGTAGTACTTCGTTGGAAAAAAGATAAATAAATGAAGGAAGGCATCAATAGCTGCATCGGTGGCATCATCTGTCTATTGGGGGAATATCTCAGTGTTTTCATTCTGTAAGCAGAAATCACAACATAAATAAAAGCTTGAAATAGTAGTCTGTTTAATAGTCTAAAGTGTTTCCCTCGAGTTACTGAAAGTTTTCAATAATATTCTAATTTGAGACACATCTGTACGTCCTTCAGAAACAATTTCATAAAAGCATAACTGGTTCAGGGCCCTTCACCATTCTTTCTGTATCCTAATCAAAACGCGAAAGTTTAGACTTTTTGAAAACAGACTCAGAAAAGCCACAGATTTATTGAATGAGTATAGAAGAAATATCAGCCATATAATTTATGAAACTTGGGTCAGTGGCAGCCAAGAGTCAAATCAAACACCCCTAACTTGGTCTTAACATTAGAAGCACCCCACATTTTTTTCACCGATTAATATTTTTCTCGGATACAAGTTTGCTATTGATAAGCAAGACTTTCATCACCAAATATACTGTTGGATAATTTGGTGTCTGTAACAGGTCTTGGGAAACAGTTTAGACTTCCCCTGTTACTTAATGCAATAAGTGTCAACTTCTTCCTATAGAAAGTTGATGAAACTAACTTGCAACTACCAACACATTTACATGACAAGTTTGTGCTTCTGTTGGTTCTTAGCCTTCCATGCAATGTAGGTTGTCCTTAACAATCTGAAGTGCACCTGTTTATTCAAATTACCACTATCGGTTGTGTTATCAGTTTTTTACATTTAAATGTATAGTTTCAGAAAATGTTTTGCTCTTGCAAGTTTAACCAAAACCTCTTTGGTTAGCACAGCAGTTGTCCTTGCATCAGAAGTTTTGACATTAAAACCCATATAGTTTTAACAAACTTTAAATAATAACCAATTGACTTCATAGTTCAACAGATGGGAGTGCACACTAAAAATGTACTAATAGGTTTTTTGTGGGATGTTTGTGCCAATGAAAACATCCAGTTAATATCAAAAGTAATTTAATTCAAAAAGTGAAACCTGAATAAAATCATCACACACTACGATGTAGGTATTTTAATAAAGGTAGATATCTTGGAGAAATTGGCTTCAATAACAAAGATGAGACTTGTGTAGGAGGAGGACTTTTTTTGGAGGTGTAGATTGAATTTAAGTGATTTTTTTTCCTCCCTCAAGAAGTCAAGATTAAAGTCAGATTTTTTTTTTTTTTTTTTTTTTCAGAGGCCCTTCTGTTCTTCAATTTGTTATAGCTTTTATAAGATAAACACCTTAATACACCGGAACTATAGGACAACGGTGTCTGTCAGTGCACATTTGGAGGTAGTACCACTTACCGGAAGTGGAACTATCACACTGCTTGTGTCCTTGTTCGCTAACGGGATTGTGAGTTGCCATTAGAGGCAGGCAAATATGTCCTGATTGGAAAGATGTACTGAGCTGTGACGGGAGATAAAATCTGACAAAGCTACATTCACCTGTTCTTAGCAGCGCCATGTTGCGTGTCGGGAGCTCAGCTGCCTGGTGAGTCCAGTATTACTGAAGATAACGGCAGCACAAGCTAGCTTGGGTGAAATGAAGGAGGGGGTCCTCTGACAGCTGATGGTATTATAGTTAGCTCTGTTTTGAGACTGGTAACTAAAATCCTGGTTTAAATAGATGTAAGCCTGAAATCCCACGGATTTACCGGCTGTGTATTATGCTAAATGTGCTTTAAACCGAATTTCCATCTGGTTCTGTTGGTGCTGAGTTTATTTAACTGCTAGCCGACTGTAAGCAGCTAACACGAGTGGTTGGTGAGTGTATTTTTGTTTAATCTGACTTTAATAATCTACTGTTCCTTCATACCAAACTGACCTGTTCATGCACCTATTCAGTATACACTAGTATGACTTGTATACATTGTTTCTTTCCTTACTGTAGCTTAGTGTTACAGTTGTTTACTCTAACAATAGTGAGTAGCTAAGTGTAATTGTATGTTTCTGGCGTTGTACGGTTTATGATAATGTATAGTGTATATTAGGCATCAGAACCTTTTACCAAATGCTTTTCCGATTAATCGTTTATTCTTGTAATTCTCGCCGATCTATTCTTATAATAATTCTCTTTTTTCATAATCGGTATGCTCAGTTGTAAGGATTTTATGTTGGAACAAATTATTTCACCTGAAACAACTGAGAGTTTGAGATGTACTGTACGAAAACAGCATCAACAAATCAACTATGAAGCTACCCATAACTACACTTTAACTATAATAATAAAATGTAGAAAATTTCTTACTGAGAGAATCTGCAAAATTTAACTAAAAATAAGAACCAACTATTAATGTCTAAATGATTTTATGCAATGCACAGAAATCAACAAAAAAGCAAAACCAACAGCATTATTGGGGTTGAATAAGGTAGCCGGTAAGGAATAAATCAGCCAACACCAAACTCCTCTGACTGTAAAACAGTGCAACAGCAGTAATGAACATATTGACAGAGCTGGATCCTATTCTATTTTACACTTCCTCATCTTCCTCACTCCAGTTTCAGAATATGATGACATGGATTGACTTGACAATCATGGGCCTATTTGTTGCTGCGTCTTGCATTATTTTTTATCGTTGTAACAATTTTCAACTTAGTTGTTAGATTTTCTTTGCACTGCAGACTAATACACAAATGGTACAACTTGTAATTCCTTTTATGTTGTTTAGTAAGAAGATAAATCAAAAGTTGTCTTTACAGTTGGTGCAGATGGTCAGAACAAAAGCTCCAAAATTATAGAATCATAAAATGGAAACAAATGCTGCTTGTTTCTTTTTTAGTTTTTATTGCCATATTCCTCTGTTATTTCAGCGTGGCTTGTAGGAGCCTCGTCTCAAACAATATGGGGGTGAAATTCCGGATCCCACTGCAGAAGCTTCATCCCCTGTCTCGTGCCATTCACCATCGTTACTCTGGAAACAATAACCCTCACCGGACTCCTCATCGCACAGCAGCGCGATATTTTACCTCCATGTCCCGGTTGCCCATGCGGTCTATGAAGCCCCCTCCAGGGTCTGGTGGTCACAGGCACCAACAGCAGCGCAACTTCT